GGCGACGTAGACCACAATAGCTTCCAGTGACTTCAGCTTGCGCGTTGTAGTTGCCAGGCTGAAGTTTGAGCTAAGCGTGCGACTCACAGGTCGAGCTCTTCAGCGCTAGATGCTCATATGATTCCCAAGCGTCGGATTACCCAAAACCCAATCCCACCACCGTCACGAATCCATTCCAACCCGAAGTACGTGTCGCAATACAGCTCACCACAATGCCCTTCTGCCTCCCTCAGTAGATCTATACTCTTGGTTTGCAAAATGTTTTCGCTGCCTCGCCTCTCATGTTCACCATCCATGTTGAGATCTCTTCGAAAGCATTCGGTAGGAAGATGTAAATGCTTCGTCAACGATGAGAAGACGTGGATGTCGTTGATCTTGAGGTGTGCGCAGACAGGCCTTTTCCAGGCAGTGAGTGCCTCCTGCACGTCTTGTAGAGACAACAGAACGCCCTCGGGGCGATACAAAAGAAGGAAATGCGATACGGCTTTTGCACGGTTGGAGCCCCGTTCTACTTCGATGTAGGGAGGCATTACGCCCTGCTTTGCGTAACTGTGGCGGCTACATCGGCATAGCCAAGGTCCGTATTTGCTATGAAGGCTACGCAGTTGAGTCATAGTGAAGGCCTTGTGCTCGCATAAATGGAATAGCGCTTCGGAAAGGATGGGCTGGATTTGTTCATAGGGCGGCGGGTCTTCGTCGTTGGAGGAATCCGAAAGGATTGATGTCATGCTCATCGGTCGAGGAACAGAAGCGTGCTGCGGTGCAGGGTTGCCTAGCTGCACTTGTCCATGGTTTTGCAAAGGCTGCCTTGGCTCCATGCGCCACCACCGGCGGAACGTTGCCATGGGGTTGCTGATATTCATGTGTCGACAGGTTCTGGCAGAGTCGAAGATAGGATAAAGGTTAGTGAGTCCCTAGCATATCTTTGTAGTGGGAAATTGATTAGCAAAGATTAGCATTCAATCTACCATGGTTCATGCTCGATGAGATTTGTGTGTAAGCTCGGATTCGAGCGACGGTGCTCGTAGCCAGAATGCGTATCATTCGCGACCATGTCCTTGTTCCGGTAGCACTTGCTTTGCGGCGGCTGTGAGTGGCCAGGCTAGCATGAGTTGGGGCGGGACCATTGTTCGAGTTCCATTTGGAGGCAGATTGCGCATACGTGCTGGTATGATGAAGATCTAAATATGCGGCAGACCGAACGCGAATAGACAGAAAGAAAATGCGTTGTGCGACTGGGGTTATCGTGTGATGGATGTTGAGGAGGTGAGAAGGTGCGACATCTGAATGGGGAAGGGAAGGGGCTGCGGAGACTAGTCTCTTCCGGGGCGCGCTAGCCGTCATCTGGCCGATCATTTCCCAGCCACCGCACTCCGTTCCTTCCCATCACACGAAACGTGCTCGAAACCACATGCTGTAGGTGTTCACGTGTTCTACGTTCGCACCCACACTGGGAAGAACCTGAATAAGGCTGCAGCCTGCATCAGGATGAGAACATGTGAATAGGTGACCCAACGTCAATGTGGGCTGCACGCCCCTTCGCTCAGCTTAATGCCTCTGCAACCAAGCCAAAACCTTCTCAGCGATCTCTAGACTGTTTCTCTCCATGAAGAACATGTGGCCATTGCCGTGAAGGCCTTCTTCTCCGAGCTTCATGTGCTCCACGTCCACACCTGCCTGTCGCATGTACTCCACAGTGCAATGATCGTACATCGCATGGTAGCTCGCCTCTGAAGTCACTGTCAGCACCGGTATCTGCGCCAAATTCACCAACTGCTTCGCCGGTTCATCCTGCATGATACATTCACTCGAATTGACGTCTCTTGCAGGAACAACAACAGTCTCGATGTACGTCGCATCGGGTCCCGCCGAAGGCTCGTATGCGACCTCCAGCTCCGTGATGCCGAAAGGTCGCGCAGGACCTGATCCAAAGATTCTTCCGATGAATGGTGGGCCCGCGGGCTCGAGTGCCACGATACTCTTGACTAGATGAGGGCGGAGGTCTCCGACTCGCCATCCATAGGCACCGGCTTGACTGTGCGCGATGATGTGCGCCTGGACGCCGATCTTGTCGAGGAGAGCGGTGTACGCTTTGGCGTTCTCGGCTTCGGATATCAGGTTGTCGGCCTGGTATTGGACTTGAGACGCATAGAAGGCGTCGAAGATCGGATCGCCTGCTTTGCCAGTCCCGGGCCACTGCGTGTGCGACCGTGCTTGCGGCCAGAGGCTATGCGACGCCGTCGAAGTGAACAGTTGCTTGATGAGCGCAGTACTGGAGCTTTTCATCGTGCCTGTATTCGGCAACCACGGAGAACGACCGCGCGATGGCTGATCGCTCAGGTAGATCGTATAACCGTGCGATAAGAAGAACGAAGCCCAGCCTGGTCGACCATCTGGTGTATCGAGAAAGGTTGTTCCAGTCTGACCAGTTCCGTGCATGAAGACGAGGGGATAGTCTTGGGTTGGCTTTGCTGGGGTGAGCTTTTCGACATAGATCTGGTTAACCATGTACTGCGCAGTGGTGTTTCCTATCTACATGGTCAGCATTCACTAGGAGTTCAGAAAGAGAAAGCTAGCTTGTCCTCAAAAGATACTGCATCTCAATTCATACACGACACTTGTCTTGCAGGAAGTCGCAGTAAGATGCAGCATATTCCCCACTGGTGTAGTACATCTAGTTCAGAGGAAAGAGCGCGGTGGTGAATTTGGTGTGACTTACTGACAGGTTCTGATACTCCCCGCCAACGTAGAAGAACTCGCGTTGCGGTGGTAGCACTTGGCCAAACCCATTGATCCAGCTATTTGCGCCGAGTAATGGCGCCAGCCAGGAAGTCACGTTACTAAAGAACGGCATCACGAGATCGGTGACCGAGTCAATGAAGTGTTGTTAGTTACGGAATGGCTGCAGTTCTTGTGAATGAGTTGAGCGATGAACACATGTTCGGGTTGACGTGGTGGTGGCTTGGCAGCTTACATGCGCCTTCCACAACAGTCATGGGTCTACCGAGTCTTTGGGTTCAGCTGCGTGGGACGAAGAAGTCGTGAGCCGAGTAACTAGGGAAGGAACACACTGGCAACCTCCATAAAAACGCATCGTAGGCATGTTTACACTTCTTCTGTAGCAACGAACGTCTTCTCAACCTTCTCGAAGTCTCCTCGCCTTTTTTTCTTCGACGTCTTTTCGTTTTCCATACTACGTAGTGCTCAAACATCAAGATGGGCAGCGTCTGGGTCTTCGGGATCCTGGTGGTGCTGTCGCTTCGGCTGGGCGCCTACATGTACTTCCAGCGGCGACGAAACGCGCGCGAAAAGCGCATTTTGGAGATTGCGGAGGAGGCACGCGCCTACCATGACGGCTATGTGAGGCGTGAGGACTACGAGGACCTCCTCGCTGCCTACAACGTAAGTCGCTGATTATATAGTTCAGATTGCGAAGCGCTAAGTATTGTAGTTCCTCAAGAACGAAACCCCCCCGCAATAGTGCAGCGAGATGCACTTCGCGTCGCCACGTGAGTCCGCGTGTCATGACGTCATCATCCAGATCCCAACCACACCAACCTAACGCGCTTTCTCAGCACACTCTCAGCGCTTCACCCTCCTTAATTCATTAACCCATGTCAGTCGCTCACTATCTTCGCAGCCTCAGACCAAACCTACCCACCCCATGGCGCGCATACTCCTCACTTAACCGCTCTATCCCCTTCAACTTCTTCGCCGGCTACACCGTCGCAAACATGTCCTCCGCAACCTTCCCCGCAACCCCATATGCCCCAACATACGATAATTGGCCGTATACCGACTCGGACTTCGTGCGATACGACGAGAACGACGATGGCGTATTTTACCGACAGCCCAGACTAGTCACGCATATTGACGACCCATCGATAGCGCGATTGACACACTACTACGATACTGTATTACCGAAGACAGGAAAGATTATGGATATGTGCACGAGTTGGAAGTCGTTCTACCCACCGTCCATGAAAGAAGCGATCCAGAAGGGAGACTTGGAAGTTTATGGCGTGGGACTCAACACGGACGAGATGGCGGTTAATGGTGTCTTCCAAGGCCCGGATCGCTGGCGTGTCTTGGATCTGAACAAGCCGCCACACGACGTGCGCACTGCATGGGAAGATGGCCAGGCTCTACAATTCGACGCAACGACGTGCGTTGTCAGTATCGACTACCTCAATAACCCGCTCGAAGTCTGCAAGAAGCTTTTGGAAGCCACAAAGGAGGGTGGGAGCGTTCATCTCGTTATCAGCAATCGGTGCTTCCCGAACAAAGTGGTCAGAAGGTGGATGATGCTGGACGAGCGCTCGCGACTGGAGTTTGTTGGCGATTATTTGCATTTTGCGGGGTGGAAGAACGTCCAGATTGTAGATCTTTGCGCGAGAGATGAGAATGGCATGCGCGTTACTGATGATCAAGGAACGGTACTTGTGAGATCGCAGCGACTTCCAGATCATTTGGACCCATTGTGGGTCGTGCGCGCGACGAAGGGGTCATAGGATTGCGCGTCAACTTAGGGAAAATTGAAAATGTATGCAGACTACATCAACATGGACACATGCAAGACAGGTGACCTCACGTCGATGTAGGCTCTAGGCCTATTTGAAGGGATTATCCTACGGGGTGATCGGGGTTTCAGAGATGCCATCGGTTGCGTGGGGTCTTCAATATTAGTGGTTTTTAGGAGCGGGCCTCTCTCTTCAGGTATGTTACCGTAGGTAACGGCACGCTTCCTGAACTCATGTCTTTCTCAACTTCGTTTATGGTAATCAATTGAGCACCGCATTATCAATGTCGTCGTATACCTCGCATATGTGTTCTGGAACGTTTGACTCTCATGGCAATATCAGCGCCTCGCTGCAGGTACGGGTCGGCTATTCCGAGCATCGGAACTGGTATACCGAGCTTGCGGGGTATATCCATTCACCTCCATAAAGCAATTGAAACGACCATGAACGATCTTCACATATCCGCGCGCAAGCTTCAAGATGACAGCTATTCTCACAACCGCTAGACTGGTTTTCAAGGACTCAGCTGCGCGGCAAAAAGCCATCGACGCGTTTCACAAGATCATCGAGTTCACGACACCACATGAGCCGGAGGTCTTGCAGTATGTCTGCGCATTACCGGTGGATGATAGTTCGCGGACTGAGATATATATGATTGAAGAGTAAGTTCATAAATGAATGGACAACAATGTCGCTAACCATGCTAGATACGCAAACCAAGCAGCAAGTGATGCGCATCTGACTACCAAGCCTGTACAAGATCTCATACGACTCTTCACCACCGGAGATGTCCTTGCTCAGCCACCAGAAGTCCACAACTGCCCGATTATCACCAAGAAAACATCATCACCCGTACCGATCTCATCGAGTCCAGCCATTGTTCTCATGAACATTCCCTGCAAACCGGACACATCCGCCACCAAACAGGCCGAAAAGTGGAGCGAGCTGTCGCAGATCGTGATGAAGAGCGTAAAAGGCGTGAGCTCGTTCACAGTCGTCGAAGACCGAGAAGCGAAAAGCACGCGTGTGGAGAGTGTACTGCAGAGTTGGGATTCGTTTGCCGCATACCAAGAGTTCATGGTCGATGGGCGGAGAGATGGAGCGGATTTGGTGAAGATCAGGCCAATTGATGGCTTTGTTGGACGTGATAGTTCGAGCAAGTTGTGAGTGACAAGGTAGATAATGGCAACTATTCAAGAGCTTGTCGAAACTATCCACCCTGTTCATGAGTCCGACTCTTCGTCTGCGTGATCCACATGTCAAGCCAAAAATCGTGGACTGGCGATCCCGCCTGACTAGCCCCGCGAGTCAAGCGTCGTTGCCCATATAAATGATGCCAGTAGTCGCCTAGATCTGCTCTCGTCGTGCCGTGTATGCCGTATCGTCGCGGGAGAATGTCGGCAAACCATCCGAACGAGCGATGAGGCTGGAATGAGGTGTTAGTGTGTGGAATTGGATAATCGCTGGATATCAAACACCGGCGATAGTAGACTGACGCACTGCGGAATGATGAGGATGTCTGTAGTGTTTACCCCAGCTAGCTATGATTTCAAGAGTCCTAGAACTTCTTCGTCTCCCCAATGCGACGCATGATCATCTGTTTGTTGGTGCAAGACGCTGGCGGCGAAAGCCAAAGTTCAACCCTTCGTGAGGCTCCGTTGTGTTCAACCCAGCAATGTAGTCGACGAGGACAGGTGTGACCGCGGTACATGCAGTACCCTGGGGAGCGTACGACCTCGGGCCAACTAATGTTATGATTGATGGTCTGACGTGCATAACCCGTCATCCTGGAAATGAGCCATCCTTTGTCTGGGACCGCCTAGTGCACGCTTAGTCCTGCGCGTCTCTTTATTGATGTTGGTAGATTGCAATTCATGATCGGCCTTGGCGAATGTCCACTACTGGGAAGGAGATCGATATCTCCTGGATGAGGCGAGAAATTACTGGAACTAGCAGAGTCTTATAGGGAAGTAGCAACGTACCTTATTCCAACGAAGATCGTTCACTGTAAGTGTATCTTCTGGTCCACCATCGTAATCTCTGGTGCTAGCATTCAACTCCATGAGGAGACCTGCGTTAGATGCCTCTTTTGCCTCCCCTTCACTTCTCATAATGCACGATTCCTCAAGCTTCATCCGCAGCCACAGGCCTTTCTGGTTCCCTTCCGCTACTTGAGAGAGACACCATTTGTAGAGTTCGGCGGAATATCGTAGGCGTCCAGGTCTATGCCGAATGTTTGCAGCCATCAGCGTGTCATAGACGATGGATCGGTCGCAGCCAGCTTCGATAACAGCAAATCGCACTGTGTCCAGGTCGGCAGGTCGGCCTAGGCGTCGATTGTGGTTGAACAGCTCTAATGCCTCAAGATTGCGTTCTAGCATGGCATTCTTTCTTGCAGCGACAGCCGCGTGCGCAACTTCAGGGTTCGTCCAGTCGACAGTCATCGCTGTAATCCAGAGTAAGAATCGTAAGAACTCGACTTTGTCTTGAGTCCACGAGCCCGTGAATAGCTTCTCCGGTAGGCGTCCCTTCACAAAAGCGAGCCGAGGAAAATGACTTCTAGAGAAGACCATCTGTGTGGCATCTTGGAAGTCGGGCGGCCACTGCGCATCGAAGCAGCCTTCATTTGTCGTCAGGCCACAGAGACATCCTGCGGGTTCAAATCGTCGCACGATCCACGACTTGAAGAAATCCCACGTCATCCATCTGCTGGCGAATATGAAGGTTTGAGCCGCTGTCTGCTCGGCGCGCTTGCCTCGTACCTCAGTGAGGTAGTAGTCGCATGTTGAGTTGTAGATGTATCCGGATGACAGTCGTGCTGCGATGTGATGCGAAGCTTGAATGAGCGCGATGTTGTGACCAGCGGCAATGAAGATGGGTTGGAGAAGCTCGACGGGTAGACACTCGATCGGGGCGAGACCCATTTTGTGGATGAACAGCAGGATAGGTGAGGTGAAGGTGAGAATGAAGCAGTCGCTAATTCGCAAGGAGCCAAATACCACGAGACTGCAGTTGGAAACGTGTTCCTGAAAGACCTCGACGCCGCATCGTGCATAACTCGGTCTTGCATTGGTCCGGCTAGGCAGCGACCCCCGCATTTGCCCATCGAGGTATGCCGCTAGTTACCCCACGCGGTGCTAGCGCGTTCCAGGGTGTCATCCGAAGCTCACCCACGCCCCTTCCATCGCGACATCACCACCTTCTTTTCGACACCAACCTACAGGAATGGCACACCAACACTGCTCCTCTGAGCTAGGCGGTATAAATTTCGCGATAGCTGGTCTCACTTCACTACGCGCGACCAACACGAAGCCGAACTGCATTAATTGAACATTCACCACGATTGCGCGTTCATGATACTGATGCCAGGTGCGCGTTGGCCCCGGCCTGATGTCACCTGCTCAGAACTCTCAGTATATCACGAACAGTAATGCGTGTCTTGAGCTGATTCGCAGTCGGGCTATCTTTTCCAACATTATGCTCTAAAAGCCAGTAACACAGATTCCACACTCTCCAAGGAGCACTCGTATCGACAAACAAAGAGCTCGAAAGATGCGTCTTTGTTACAGGCCGACAATATGAGCAATGTCTGTCGACAGCGAATGAGATCAGCTTTTCTGAAACCTAGCAACGTTAGGGCGGGGTATTTTCCGGCATTACAGCGGGCACAGTCATGCGTCAGCTTCAACCTGTAAGCTTCAACGCGTCGCTGTCACTTCGCAGAGCTTCGGTATCTCCGTCCGTACCTCGCGCATTCTCGCTACGACATCATCGTCTGCATAAGCTAGAGCTTGGAACAGCTGTGAAAACACCATCTTTACACGATGGCCGATCTCGACCCGAGTATTTTATTCAATGTGAAGGGGCTAGTGGCTGTAGTCACGGGCGGCGGAACAGGTGGGGATAAAATCCTTCCTGATGTGCAGCTTTGTTGATTATGAACAGGCATTGGATTGATGATTGCGCAAGCACTCGAGGCGAATGGTGCGGTCGTGTACATTCTAGGGCGCCGAGAGGAAGTACTGAAGCAGGCAGCCAGCACAGCGGTATGCTCGTCAGACAATGTTCTAGACTATGCTAACACTTTATCTTAGAAACACGGAAATATACACTACTTCAAGACCGATGTGACATCCAAATCCGATCTCTCCGCAGCAGTCGATCATATCGCCACCAAATCCGGCTACGTCAATCTTGTTGTCGCAAACTCCGGCATTCAAGGTCCAACACTCGAAGGGTTGGAAAAAGGTGCATCCATCACCAAATTCCGCGACCACCTATGGAACTGGGATATGAACGAGTTCACGCAAACCTTTGCGGTAAACACTACATCGGCTTTCTTCACGGTCGTTGCGTTTCTTGAGCTGCTCGGCAAAGGTAATAAAGCCGGCAACATTGAGCAAAAGAGTCAGATTATTTGTATCAGCAGCGCGGGTGCTTTCAACCGCGTACCGATGGCGGGCTATGCGTATGCTGGCTCCAAGTCGGCAGCAGTACATATCATGAAGGCTTTGGCGACGACGTTGGTGCCTTACGATATTCGCTCCAATGTACTTGCGCCTGGTTGTAAGTCGAAGCATTCCCTTCCTCCTGCCTTTTGCTTACTAGCATGCGACAGTATATCCCAGTGAGATGACCGCGGGCATGCTTAATCAGGAGACATGGCCGAGGGACTTCATACCCGATCAAAGAGCTGGCAATATCAAGGATATGGCGGGCGCAATACTATTCCTTACTAGTAGAGCCGGAGGTTATGTGAATGGGAATGTCTTGCTTACCGACGGGGGGCGCTTGAGCATCCTGCCTGCGACTTACTGAGCTAGCCTTAATATTCGGCTTGGACAGGAAGAACGCAGTGTGCCCCGCCGTACAATACTCAAGCTTTGCCAACCGCAAGGGCCGGCGCGCAAAGGCTTATCTACCCGTGAATGTATGACGTGTTGGTTTGCGATCGTGGATTCCTGGCACGATTCGGTGGGTTTTGCTGGGTTGTTCATGTTCTGTGGTGTAAGACGGTGGGTTCTGACGCGTATTTATCCGGTCAGCCACGAAGAGCTTGTGCAAGGCTGCCGATCACTCACTGTCATCGAAGCTGAACAACAACGATCTATTACCATTAACTAATGCTACAACAAATAGAATACCGTTACAGCTCCTTGCTTTTCGTGTGGATAGGATAGGCCCATGGAATGCGGCCTTGGATACGGTCCTCGCCAAAGACGTAGTCCAACACCCTACTTTGCTTCATGCGCGGAGCAACAACATACTTCATCAGAAGCCACTGGAAAGCGTAGAGCGGGTAGATAAACCTGCCCACAAACCAGTATATCGGCGTAGCCCAGGCGTGGCTGCGAGTTGCGGCAGCGGATACACCAAAGTCGAACGCAGTTGGCTCTTTCCGCGAAGATTGGTATTCCTGGAAGATTTGTTGGAGTTCGTCGAGGCCAAAATCGGAACCTGCACTTGACTTCGTCGCATTGTGGAGTAGGTTGCAGAGCAATGCGACGTCTTGAATGCCGTTGGTAAATCCCAGTCCGGCATTTGGCGTGAACTTGTGACATGCGTCGCCGGCGAGAACTATACGTCCCAAGCTCCAATGATCCAGTACCCCTTCGTCTAGATTCGACATGCCCGCGGTCGAGCTATCGTAGATATCTTTGACCTTTAGATCGTCGTTGACGGGCCAGTCCGCGAAGCTAGCAGCGAACTCGTCCATCTCTTCCTTTGTATATCGCTTCGGCTCCTGAGTCGGTTCTGGCAGCTTTTCGTACAGCAACAACCAAGCGCGTTCACGGCCAGTAATCCACATGAGAGAGCGGTCTTTGCCCTGTGTGTTGTTTCCCAGACCAGCTGCGCATGGCCGCGGGATGTTGGACCATAGACAACGGTAGTGGGCGGAGAACGGCGGTTCCGGGTTGCGGCAGGCTGAGAAGCGGTCTTCTGCTGAGAGCTTGTGCATGATCTTGCGTGTTTGGCTGTGTACCCCGTCGGCTCCAAGGACCATCGATCCGCTGAACGTCGTGCCGTTCGCGCAGGTGACTACGACGCCGGTTTCGGTTGTTGCGATGTCGACCACTTTCTGACCGACATAGTATTTCTTTCTTGCTTCGTCGGGAAGGCCTTCGAGCAGGGCTTGTACGAGTTCGGCGCGGTGGAATGCGATGGGCTCGAGGCCGAAGCTGTGCTGAGTTAGTAGAGTTTAAAGAAGTGTTGCTCAGTTGGCCCGGACTCACTTCTCCTTGACGATCTGGACGGACGTGCCGTCTGCGAACTTCTTGCCATCCTTAGTGAAAGATTTGTTGTTCAGCACTCTCTGTCCGATCGAAAGCAGCTTGTCAAGTAGACCGAGCTGTTGCATTATTCGCATGGCATGTGCTCCGAGAATAAGGCTGGCACCAACATCGACAATGACATCATCTCTGCGTTCCAGGACGACAAAGTCGATGTTGGCTAGGTGTAACGCATGGGCAGCTGTTAGCCCAGTAGGCCCGCCGCCAATCACAATGACTTTGAAGGGTTGGTTTGCCATACTGTGGACTGAGGATGTGAAGTGGTAAACATTCTCCACCCCACAAGCTTTGAGATGCTATATATCTGTACACGCGACATTGGTATCAAGCTGGGCGTCTGTGGGTCGTGCAAGTGCCGATGAAGGCTGGCCATGTAGCACATTGTAGGTAGATCTCGGGAACCGAAGTACACCCGATTGTGTGGATAACTTCAACATGCTCGGCCGAGGAGGTTGAGCAGCAGTCACAAGAAGTTCGCACCCTCGTGGGGACCGTGAGGGTGAGGCTCAGTGGATTCGTTGCGACAGCAGTGTAATGCCGATGGGTTTCTTTCGAAGGGCGCGCGTGAGCCGAAGACGCGTGCGACCGGGTGATGCTTGATGACTCTAGGCATTGCGACACCTCATTCTCGCATGCAAGTGGCAACAGGAATTTTAAAAAGTCCGACGCGCATGATGACGATGCTCAGGGCATGGGCTCTGGAGGTTTACTGCGAAAAGTGAGAGAAAGAAGGAACTGTCGCGTAAGCATGTGAACACCTGATCTTGTGAGTTAGGCCGCTGCGACCCGGTGACGACGCATCTTTCGTATGCTTTGAGATCGTGAGTGTGATGTAGACACTGCGTTGAGGTTTGCATGAGGCGAAAGGGCACAAAGGTGTTGTTCAATGTCCTTTCTATGTGATCGTGATGATGTGGACACCCGCAGAAGATCGGAGACCCGCTGCCGATGCCTGGCGCCATCATTAGCGTGCCAAGCTTCGATCATCATCCCCTTGTCGGGATCTCAATTTCCGCACCAGGCACCGCCGTCCTTCCACGCATCCTCAGAACAACAGCGCCAACTCCTCATTCGACGAAAGAATCCTGAAAGACCCAGAGGCGACGTTGATATTAGAATACCCACGTCGCGTGTTTTCATCTCAATGTAGGCAGCAGATCCGTTCGGCCTTTTCCTTTCAGATACCCTCCTTTATCCACCTCGTCGCCAACTCAAGACATACCCTAGCATCAAGCCAGGGTGCGGTCGCAAGTTCCCTTTGGAAGGATTCGATGTTCCTAATTTCCGCTATGTCAAACCGAAATTTCAGGTTCGATACGCGAAGTATCGCAGCGCCGCTTGCGTCCTTGAAAAACTCTGCAGTCTCCATATCATCGAGTGCGCTATTGTGGGCGATGGTTGCTACCGAACGTAGATCCTCTCCACCTATCACTAAGCTGAGAAACAAGCCCTGCGCCACGACGTCTATCCACAAGTCATTTGTGTCCAAGTACGGGACGGCATAGCTGATGTTGACTTGAGGATGCTGCCGGCAGTATTCGGCCAGCTCGAACATGACATCTTTGGGTTCAAGCGACTGGCTGAGCCTTGGCACCTGTCTATGACTGCTTGACCAGAGGTAAATGTCACGGAAACGTCCCCGTTTAGTCGCTGCGCAGTTCCGGATGAAAGTCAGGAAAAGTTGTCCAGGGCCGAATTTATCACTCCAGTGGGTAAAAAAATGCACTCGGTTAACTTGGAGCTCCAGCCCCGCGGTCTCCTTGTACAACTGGCGACAGGTCAATTTCAGCTGATTGACGTGGTCTTTGCATTCTGAGCGGTAGGCTCCGCAGGGGATGAAGCGTGGGATGTTGTGGCCGTCAAATCCGTCGTCGCTAGACACACCCTCATAGGACCTCACACCGCTGTCGAACTTCAACTCGTCGTCGGTCTGAAGTGCGTACTCGTATATGCGGTTGCGCAGCTCGCCAGGCAGTCGGAGCAGAGGGGATGTGCTGTTGGCGATGCTGGGACCTGCTGGCCCACACTGGGGCGCGTCGTTTGGCGAGGTTGAATGCATCTTTGAGCTTTGCGATGTGTCAGTAACTGCGAAATAGAAACGAGGTCGATGAGTGACTGACCTGGGTGTGGTCTTAGAGCTTGATGAGAACGTGGTGCGCATCTCGCGGTACCAGCGACGCAGACGATGTCGAAGACCTCCCTTCATGTCGGCGGAGGGAACGATACACTAGAGTTGATTACCCGGTGCGCGTGGATATCGTTGTTGGCCGAAATCTCAGCGCGGGCTGGGGAGCGAAATCCTCGCTGTGTCGAATCTTTCTCACCTTCACTTTGTGCACGGCCCACGTCCTCCAGCCCGCCTAGTGCGCTATAGGTATCACAGTCTTCCTCGCGGCCATACCAAGTGTTGCATCCGACGACTGACTGCAGCCCTGTTCCGAAAACTTCGCTCGCTGCGACTGACCATCACACCTGGTGCTGCCAGCTATGCAGACCGCCCAGCATGCGCCCGCGCACATGCTTTCGATTGCGGAGTATTTGAGATCATGTACATGGACTGGCCGCATCAGGACGCTGATAGACGCCTCTACAGCATACTGAATCCCCTACATGCGCCTACGTAATCATGTATCTTCGACGTATCATGAACTATTGAGGACTTCGTGTACTCGTAATCTTATAAACGTCGCTCGAAATGACTGCGCATACCTCCAGGCTACAACTTGACAGAGACGAAGTCATCACTTCTTGTACTCCCTGTTTTGGAGTCGCGACCTTTCAGAAAGCGAGAGGAGAGCAGGACACATGACCAAGAACTCGACGGATTTTGAGAAAAGGAAGGCGCGCACATGTGAAAGTGGTACCATATTTCCAGGTAGCACAAAGGCGACGTGTGATTAAGAAGAGAGAAATAGAAGATGTTGAGCTTTATGTATGCGTCTAGGTGCTCCAATGTCAAGCTTTGACTCTTCTCTTCTCATAAACTCGAGTTTCGACACTTTTGGAGAGGAAAAACATTTGACGCCGACGACCAACGTCATGATCTTGTAGTCGCGCGGATTCTGGGAAGAAGAAAGCACCGCACTCATCAAATCCCCTGCTATCGATTTATAGCAACCGTGGATCGGATAAATAGGGGATCGTATCTTTGGAGAAGCAGTCCACATGTGCTGGCGGCTAGACATCTTTGGGGTGTGCCGTATCGATCGAGATTGGGGAGCGAGGAGCCGGAGAAGAGCCATCATTTGGACGGTGCATTTGCGGTCTTTGAAAGAGCAGGGAATAGCGCACATATAACCTGACGATTACAGTTTTTGGAGAAAGAGCCAGTGGAGTGTGATGAAGAAGAGAAAGAAGGCAGAGAAAGGTATGTTTTATATCACATCGACGCACTAGACCCGCACTGGCGTAGCAGCTGGATCACCGGCAGACAGTATGAGGTCTTCGATATGATGTTTTGGACAGCGGATTTTACCCCACAATCATTCCTTGGTTGTCATGACCTTTCCAAAGAACGGACGCATGTTCAGTCCAGCGAGTATTTTGAGCCGCTGAAGTCGTTGCGTTCCAAAGAAGGCGGAAGAGAACAGTCATGTTCTCGATCTTGTGGGAATTGTTTAGCACATGCAAAGGTCTTGGTAGTCTTTCAGGCGTATGTACCAGAACAGACCAATTTCGGAAATGTTGCGCTGGACAGGAGAGAGATGAACATGATATCCCTGCCTCGGGATTTTGAATGCAGAAGACTGGAAGAGAGGGCGATCATAGGAGTTACGCCGCTGCATTTTTGAATAAAGCTCACCGGGATTGATGAAGAGAAGAAGAACGGAGTCGGAATGTGGTTTATATACCCCACCACGGGTCGGTATTGCGTTGAACTTGGCGAGGTCAGATAGTAATCCGGGAAAGAGAGAACGAGGCTGCTCATGTGTTGATGACCAGATATTTTTAATTTGTATTGCGAAATGTCGAGGTCTTTTGATCTACATAGAGTCTTGCTATAATCGTTTCGGTTATACGCGATAGAGAGTCGAGCGCCAAACATATCCCAGTTTTCTTTGAAGTTTTGCAATTTTAGAACAGGCGCAAGGCGCAGCGAACATGTCGAAGATTCCTCTGACTTTTGGAGACACACCATAATAGGTGAGTAGTAAAGAAGGAGGGAGGTCTGCAAATTGGGAAGACTTTATACCCCTCGATTCTCGTTCCAAGATAGGCCCAGGCTGATACATAGGCCTCAAAACGACCCAAGAGCCCGAAAACAGGGTGTTGTAGGCGATAGGCTTCAGTTTACACGTCACTCAGATGTCTCATGCGACTAGCCTCAGCGTTTTTGAAGTGCTGTTTTTGAATAGCGAATGGACTGCGGACGAACACATCGCGAGATTGTATGCTGTTTTGAGGAGTTGCTGGAGTTGTTCGCCGAAGAGACAAGGCAGAACAGCAGTCATCTAGTCGGTCAGATGCCGTTTTGGTGGTATCGGCAGAAGAAGACCATGGTAGACTTGTCGAGAGATTTGTGGTTAAGAGAGAACGCAACGACTCGACATACGGAGGAGCAATCTCTCCTTTCTTTTTCAGGACGATTTGCTAGAGACCCGGGGAAGGACGACAGTCATCGAACGTGACTATCGGCGTTTTTTACAGTCGGAATGGGAAGGATTTGTGTAAGTTCGGGATCGGTAAGAAGACTTAATATGAAATATGCCTGATGTCTTTTCGAGGTGATGTGCCGGGATGCGAGAAAGAGCAGCAGTCATCGCCTGAATGTAAATAGATTTTGGAAAGAACGAATCAGGAATCGTATGGATCGTAATCTTTCTGCTTTCGATATATCTAGAAACGCTCAGGATATTCAGTGGAAGTGTTGAGTACTGGGTGGAAAAGGCGAACTTCTCGAAGCGAACATCGAGACGTTTTCGGGGTTTTTCAATAGATGGATCTGCGCTGAGAGGAAACGATAAAGAGAGACGCAGTTATGGCTCGATACTGTGCGGGTTTTGCAAAGAGCGAACCAGAGAAGACATGTTCCCGACAAATCGATCTTTGGGTGTACTAGAAAGAGTCGCTGAACGCCATGGACATGTCAACAGGCAGTTGAGGAAAGCGAACGTCTCGGAGAACACATTTCCAGGCTGTGTATTGTACTTGTAGTTTGATAGAGACGCGCCGAGGTCGACCGACGGAGCGCATAGTCGGTGTCACTACCCGTTTTTCGAGGAAAAGATCTTACCAGGCGCAACATCAGTATCGCAACTGCAAGTTTTGGGTGAAACGAGGACAGTTGCGAGGGACGACATGGAAGTCTCCCTAGTATGTTTTGGTAGAAGTTGAGGAAGACGAGGAGGGAAGCAGCCATGGAACGTCCGATGATGAATTTTGGAGAAGGAAGATTCTCAGAGCAAACATGAGTGCGTCCCTGGGCATTTTTGTTGGTAATAAGATGTGCGAAGCAGTCATCATGTGTGCGCGATCGATTTTTCGGAAGAAGGACGTCCCAGAGAGAACATCCAAGAGCTCTGATCCTGTTTTGGTAATGAACAGTGTACCGAGAGATAGAAGCGGTCATGTTGGAGGGTAGAAGTTTTTTAGAAGACCGGAATCTCAGAGGAGAACGTGGGAACTTTATCTCGTCGGTTTTGAGGAGGCCAGCGCGGGGAGACGGAGCAGTCATCGTCGATCTTGCTGAACGTTTTGGAAGAGGACTTTCCGGAGAGAACGTATATTCAAGAGTGAGTGATTTTGATAGAGAGCGGCGTGGAGAGACGGAGAAGCCATATAGTCTTTCTCTGCGTGTTTGGGAAAAGAGCAGCTTTCGGAGAGAACATAGAAATCCTCTTTGTTCATTTTGGATAACCGAAGGAGGGCAGAAGACGCAGTCATGTGTATCACCATATGGTCTTTTGGAAAAAGAGTAAAAGTTTTGGTATATAGGAAGGAAGGTGAGAGCAGACAAAAGCCGACCTTTTATACATCGCCTCAACCTGAGAGATCAGACGGCTGACACACACGTCTCCCGCCACTGGCGCTCCACTTCCGTCTCCACTCCACACCCTCCTTAGGCATCAATGACCTCTTTCAAAGCCTTAGCACTCCCCTCCAACTTCCCCCTCTCCTCATTATCCAACGTCATCTGCAACGCCCTCACCACGCCCTTCCTGCCCAGAACTACCGGCATACTCAAACAGACCCCTAAATCTTCCTGGAACGTACTAACAGGCCTTATGATCTTCTCATCGAAGATGATGGATTTGCATATCGACGCCGCAACGCCGCCGATGCCGTAATTCGTGGCTCCCTTGTTCTCGATAATGCTCGTAGCTTTGTTCTTCGTCTCCTCCGCAATGGCGTCTTTATCCAACGCGCCTGATTGCTTGGAAGATAACGCAGAAGACAACGGGACACCGCCGATAGAAGCCAGGCTCCAGGCGACGAATTGGGATTCGCCGTGTTCACCAAGGACGTACGCTTCGATGCTGGACGCTGCGACTTCCGCTTTGGACGCGAGTATGCCGCGGAGACGGGCGGAGTCGAGGAAGGTGCCACTGCCGATGACTTGCGATTTTGGAAGACCGGAGTACTGTTGGGCGAAGTAGGTGAGGACGTCGACGGGGTTTGCGACGAGTAGAAGTACAGTGTCCTCGCGGAACGGCTTCATGTCCGAGATTGCGGATTCGAGAATGGATTTGTTGCGGCCGATTAGATCCGTCCTACTCTCACCCTTCTTTTGCTTTGCCCCAGCAGCGATTACGACGATATCGCATTGACCCGCCTCTTTGTGCGTACCTGCTCTTATCCGGGTGCTTGTGTTACCGTGGAAGGTGGCGTCTGACAAGTCTGCCACTTGAGCGTCGCGGACTTCTTCCTTGGGGTCGACGAGCAGGATGTCACCGGCAACAGGGTTCATGATGAGGCTGTATGCGATTGTGGCGCCTACATCGCCGGCGCCGAGAATGGCGATGGAGGAGGTGTTTTTCGGGTCTGACATGTTGGGTCGTGGGGTGTGAGATAGTGGTAGGTATGGTTGGAATGGAGGGGCAGAGGGTGGTGTTGGTAGTTGACGGGGATACTTGGTGGGTTCAGAGCTCTTTCTTCTTCTGTAATCTGGTAGTAAAAGCTATTGGAGTACGTCATCGTGATGGCGCTAGTGCGTATGCAGTCCGTAGACAGCCGGCCTATCAACACCTGCAGGCTCGTGAGGCAGGTGCGAGTGGTGGAGTACCTGACATGACCAACCCCAGCTCCTCATTCTACCCCCATTCCCTCACCGCAACATGTCCCCGCTCCTGTGTTGTCAATTCCGTCACCTCACACCCACTCCACGTCGTCGTCCCGTCTCGTGCGACGCGTCGTGGTTCGAGGTAGGCGTTGAGTTTGTTTCTTGGCTGTCTTGACTAGCTGGGAGGGCTTAGCATCATATTCCATGAGTAAAGCCCAGTAAAGCAAAAGCATCGCAAAATCCAAGTGCTCAAGCTACCTTGGGTGCAGGTGCTGCAGCTGGTGCAACCACTTTCTTCCTCGGCTGTGTGGCCAGGCCCTTCTTCAGCAGCAGAGGTATGACGTCCGTCGCTTTATTCCGGCTGATGGTCTTTCGGCAGACGGGACACTGAGAACGCTTCGTTTCGTGGGGCCCGGTGCGGTTTTCGCCGGCGATGAGGGCTTCCATGAGGCAGGTGTGGCAGAAGAGGTGGCCTGAACAATTAGTGAAACACTTGAGATGGCATGAATTGTACTCACCACATGCAGTGGCTGTGAGATCTGTGGGGTTGTCCATGCAGATGACGCAGTTAAACGAGTTGAAGGTGGTGACGGTCTCCTCTGGCTTTGCCTGCGCCTTGACAGCATCCTCGCGCTGCTTCTGCAGGGCCTCTTGCAGCGGCGTCTTCTGCTCCGTCAAGTCGAGCTCCTCGATCTTCTCGGGCTCGGCGCTCTGCTGCTTGATCTCCGCAGCTGATCCGTCGTCCCGCTTCTGGCGCTTCGCTGAGGGGCCCGGGGTGGGCGACTGCGGCTTCCTTCTCCGCGGCGGTGACTCGGGGGCGCTTGTGAGGTCGACGTAGCCATTTGCGAGACGGTCAGGCCGTGCGCGAGTGGCGGGCGGCATGTCTCCGGTGAATGGGCTGTAGGGGCGCCAAGCGAAGGGTGAATAGCGTCCGTGGTCGAGGCCGGCTGGATTGAGGATGTGGTCGAAGAAGCCGGTGGAGTAGGGCACGGGCGGGGCGCGGTAGACGTCGTCGAACTGGGCGTCGTCGGCGGGGGCGCTGTAGTGGCCGAAGAGCTCGCCAAAGTCAAAGGCTTCGGGGGAGTAGTGGTTAGGAGAGTAGTGGTTGTGGTGGTGGCTCTCGGGGGTGTCGAAGTTGGCGTCGTCGAGTGGGTGGGTTATGTCATCGTCGTCCCTGTGAGAGCGGTCGGCCGACATGGTGGCGAGCGCAGGCCGAGGGGGCGGCAGCGGGCAGGTCAGGAAGGGCAACGTGCTCCTTCACCATCTGAGTAGCTGCTGGTCTGGGCATGGTGTCGCAGTCCCGGGGGCTTGGTGACGCAAAAGCAGCGGCCGCTCTCGGGCTCGGGCGTGCTATATCATGCATCGCGTAGGGCTGAGGGGAACTGCACCGCGCCAAGAGTCTGCGGGTGAACTAGACACTGAACATGACGACACCGAATTGCAACCTCAACTACGACGACTCAACCCGCCGACGCCATGCAGTGACCGCCGTATTCCAGTCTGACGATGCGCTGCTCATGTCGCTCCCTTGCCGCCCACGCCGCCCGACCGCGACCCGTCCATGCGCAATCACATTTCGCCAACGCCAAACGATGTCTCGCCACAGTGCAGTCTACACAGTCGCCCATACAGTCGCCGGATGCAGAAGGTAGCAATGCAAGGGGGGGTCTGAGTGGTGCGACAGTCAATGCGTCTTTGTTAGTCCCCTCGGAAGCCCGCTTCAGTCCCATCGGCGTTCAGCACCTTTCCTCGCACATCCACTCGCAGGTCTTCCCCGGCGCAAGCACCCAACCACCACCCGAACTCGTCGCACTGTCGCAGGACCACCTCAGTCGCCATGACTTACTCGGCAAGAACCAGGACCAGACCCCGCCGGTCGGGTTCGACCTGCCGGAACTGCAAGGGACCAGCCTCGACGAACACTTCTACAAGCTGGGCATGGACACGGCGGAACCATACCTGAGTATGGCAAAGAAGCTGGCGTGGGCAGATCCTCCACCGAAGCCAACGAAGTGGGTGCGACGGAGCGGCTGGACCAAGTACAACAGCGACGGCACCACCGAGGCCGTCGATGCGCCCGACGAGACGATGCTCACATTCGATACCGAAGTCATGTATAAAGTAACGCCCTTCGCCTGCATGGCATGTGCCGCTAGTCCTACCGCCTGGTATGCGTGGTTATCGCCGTGGCTACTGGGAGAGACCAAGTCAGATCGCCACCTCATTCCACTGGGCGACACCTCAGTCCCCCGCGTCATCGTCGGACACAACATTGGATACGACAGAGCTAGGATAGCGGAAGAGTACAATATTGCGCAGTCGAAAAACGCCTTTGTCGATACCATGTCCCTGCATGTGGCCTCCAACGGCATGTGCTCGCGCCAACGCCCGTCGTGGATGAAGAACAGGAAGGATCAGGAGGAGCAAGACAAAGCAGCCACGTCGGAGGAAAACGCTGGCCTTTCCACAGTCCTGGCGGGCCCGACCGAGGAGGAGCTCTGGATGGGCAGAAGCGCAATCAACTCACTACGGGATGTGGCCAAGTTCCATTGCAACATAACACTCGACAAGGCGCAGAGGGAGTACTTTGGTGAGAAAGACCGTGCAAGCATCAATGATATGCTGGACGACCTGCTCTCCTACTGTGCTGCTGATGTAGAAATCACCCATCGTGTATACCAAAAGGTCTTTCCGCTGTTCCTCGAAACATGTCCGCACCCTGTTAGTTTTGCCGCATTGCGATTCCTGGCTGCCGAGATTCTGCCTGTCAACGAGACTTGGGATGCGTATATCCACAACGCCGAAGCGACATATAAGCAGCTCGACGATGCAGTGAAGGAGCGCTTGGTGGCGCTAACGGAGAAGGCGCTGGAGGTCAAGGATCAGCCGGAGGTGTATGGAAATGACCCTTGGCTGAGCCAGTTGGACTGGTCAGGGCAGGAGGTCAAGATGGTCAAGGGGAAGAAGAAGGGCGATCCGCCGAGACCAGCAGCCCGCCAGAAGAAGCCTGGCATGCCCAAATGGTACAAGGATTTGTTTGCGAAGAACGACGCCCCGATAGCTCTTACGGTCCGCACACGCATCACGCCGATTTTGTTGAAGCTGGCATGGGATGGAAATCCTTTGGTGTGGTCGGACATACACGGATGGACGTACAAGGTTCCCGTGGACGAGGCTTTTGCCTACGACGACAAGGGTCTGAAGGTCTTGGACATGTCTGAGGAAGAGAATCTGAAGCTTAGAGATGACAGCGAGTATGTCTACTACAAGATCCCGCACAAGGACGGACCGCTCGCGAGGTGCGCCAATCCACTCGCCAAGGGCTATCTGCAGTATTTCGAGAAGGGGAAGCTGGGATCAGAGTATGCGTATGCCAAGGAAGCACTGGAGATGAATGCATCTTGTTCGTACTGGATCAGCGCGAGGGAGAGAATCACAAATCAGATGGTCGTCTACAACAAGGAGGTACCCAATCCGCCGAAACTCGTCTCTGCATCCGGTAGGGGCGCGGGGAAGAAGGTCGGCTTCATCCTTCCACAGATCATACCAATGGGTACCGTCACGCGGAGGTCGGTTGAAAATACATGGCTTACGGCTAGTAATGCGAAGAAGAATCGTGTTGGATCAGAGCTGAAGTCGATGGTTCGAGCACCTCAAGGATACTGCTTCGTCGGAGCCGATGTCGACTCGCAGGAACTGTGGATTGCTTCCTTGATTGGCGACGCGACGTTCAAACTCCACGGCGGTAACGCTGTCGGCTTCATGACTCTCGAGGGAACCAAGGCGGCGGGGACAGACTTGCACTCTCGCACAGCCGCCATCCTTGGCATATCGCGAAACGACGCCAAAGTCTTCAACTACGGACGTATCTACGGTGCAGGTCTGAAGTTTGCGTCTACCCTCCTCCGCCAGTTCAATCCTTCGTTGTCGGACGAGCAGACCTCCAAAACAGCAGACGACCTCTACAAGAACACCAAGGGAAAGAAGACGAACCGGAAGCAACTACATGAACGAGCCTTTTGGCGCGGTGGTACTGAATCTTTCGTGTTCAACAAGTTGGAGGACTTTGCTGAGCAAGAACGTCCCCGCACACCTGTTCTAGGCGCTGCCATCACCGAAGCCCTGCAACGGCGGTATTTATCAAAGGGCGGTTTCATGACGAGTCGGATCAACTGGGCGATCCAATCTTCCGGTGTTGATTACCTCCACCTCCTCATTGTATCAATGGACTACCTGACACGCCGATATGGTCTCGACGCTCGCCTCGCCATTACCGTCCACGACGAAATTCGGTATCTCGTGAAAGAAGAAGACCGGTACAAAGCAGCAATGGCGCTCCAGGTTGCCAATGTCTGGACGCGCGCAATGTTCAGTCAGCAGATGGGGATTAATGAACTCCCCCAATCCTGCGCCTACTTCTCCGCCGTCGACATTGACCATGTATTACGGAAGGAAGTGGACATGGATTGCATCACACCCAGCAACAAGGAGAAGATTCCGCATGGTGAAAGTCTGGATATCATGGCGCTGTTGGAGAAGGGTGAAGAAGCACGTCTTGATCCTGCTTTCGTACCCAGCGAAGCCGACATGCCAACGCCGGAGAAATACACACACGCCTTTACTCCGCGAACGCCGATTATGACCACTCTGTCAAGAGGCGATGCCGTCGGCGATCCCACAGCGATGGCATATCTCAAAGCGCAAATCTCCTCCTCCGACCAGGAACTCCGCGACATCCTCCGACCCCTCCGCGCAACGCCCGCACCGCGCAGCAGCAGTAGCACTAGCAAAACGAAGAGCAAGAGTGGAAGCACAGCCGGCAACGAAGTCTCAGATATCGAACAAGAAAACCGCGAGATCCAGAAGGAAATCAAGCAGTTTGAAAAAATGACCAAGCAATCGAGCGCTCATGACCCCTGGCGCGAGGTGTACAAGCGCGCGAATGCTAGCACGAAGGCCAAGAGCAAGGCGCCGGGCGAGTGGTGGCAGAATGGGTATACACAGCATTCGAGGAGTGCAGTGAGGAGTGCGAGAGTGTAGGATGTTTCTTGTATGTTTTTTGTAAGATGTATATACGGCAAAACTTCATGTACAGGTTGGGTAATGGGCTAGGTGGGCGGCGCGTCGTCTGGTTTACTTGCATAGGTTCGGCGCATCGTTCCTTCCACAAATGGATTTTTGATTTGGCTCTCTTCCGATTCTGACCCCATTCCGCAGTCACGCGACATGGAGGGGTATAAATACCCCTCTTCCGCGTCGTTCTGCTTCTCTTCTTCATCATACCTTCCAGTCCTCGTTTCTTCAAAACCACAGAGTCAGTTATGATGACTTCGCCGGTCTGGCTTTTCCAAAAACATCGGTGAACTCAGTTATGTGCTCGCCTTTCCTTCCGCTTTCGACATCGACATCGAGAACCAGGCATCAAGAAACACATGGTTTCTGATTCCAGTCTTTCCCAAACTCTACGTTATCGAAGTGATGTGTCCGCCTGCTCGCGTGCTCTCAACCTCAAAAGTTTTAGGCCTGACGACGACATGACTTCGACTGCCTGTCGTTCCGAAAGACAGAAGAGGGCCAGGATTATGCTGGCATCAACTTGCTCTTTTGAAATCAAAACTAGGATGTTCTTTTAGGTACACATACATTTCTGGTCGGCCAAAACTAGCATCAACCATTACGATGTGTTCGCCTCGGTCTGCAATGCGCATTCTCCGAAAGCTTCCACCACCATTGTATGTTCTACGGCACTTCACTAGCGAAAGCGCATCCTGCAAAAAGACGATGTAGATGGCTTGGCTGGTGGTCGAGAAGACTATATATTTTCAATGGCGAGCGAAGACAAGGACTACATCCTCTCTCTTCTCGAGAATTACCAAAAGATCCCACACCTCTTTCTATGTGCTCCTTCTTCTCGCTCGGCTTCCAAAACTTCAGATGAGCCTCCTATGTTCTTTGCGCTATCCGCCGCGGCAAGCGCAGCGCAACAAGGAATCACCTGAGTTGCTTTAGAAGCAGCTCGTTTAGAAACACCCTATATATTCCTCGCAGCGCACGAAGAATGTCCTTCGTTCTCTTATCTCTTTGCAAAAACACCAAAAAAAAGCAAGATCGCTACATCATGAAGTTGGTGTCCTTCCATCGGTCTACAAAACGTCGTTTACCACTATCATGGAAAAAGAGCGCATTCATACCTCCCAAAACAGCGCCAGGAGCTCGGTATGGCAACTCGCCTCTATGATTCCCTAACTACTTATACTGAGCAGAGAGTCTGAGACTGCTACAGCATCTTCCACAATTGATGAATATTTAAACCTGACTTTGGTCATTACTATGAGTCGGTTTCGCGCGGTCTTTCAAAAATCAGTTCCCGACTTTCTATGATTGCGACTCTCTGCACGTCTCGTAGTATTCATTCGATATAAAAATGGCATCTTAATAGCATCATGGCGCTCGATCGTTCAGGCCTTTAGCTTCTCGTCGCTATGTGAGATAACGACCAGGATATCCTCGTACACCGTGGTTAGTTACCAAAAAGAGCTGAAAAAAGATATCTTGGAGTGAATTCTCCTGTCTCTGTCTTTCAAAACGCGAGCGAGAGCCTTTGATGTGTCTGTGCCACTCTTTTCATGTCTTCAGAACATCATAAGAGCTTCTCGACCCTCCGATGCCGTCTTCCTGCTGAGCTATCTATTCTTTCCATAATACAAAGCACGAGTACATATATCATCTCGCATTATGTGGAGGAATACCGAAGTTAGAAGCCAAAGAAGTCATGGAGTTGGGTCTCTTGTGTGGGCCCTTTCAAACATGCCGAAGCAGCTTCCCATGTTGCAAGAGTCTCTCGTATCACCGTATACTCTCAAATCGCCACGGCAAATATTGATGCTGCGCCAAGCCTCAGCCTTTTGAAGCAGTTGACTCCTCTGCGCATGCGAGTGATGACGACATAGCAGATTCTGGGAAGCCGGCGGTTGTACGAGATGAGATGAACACAAGCAGAGTAGCGGGACGCTCCTGCCCTTTCACTCAATGATGTCACGGGTCTCGAAAATCTCTTCACGCGCCTGCCTGAATCTGTATAGTCGCTAGCGTGACTACTACGAGTGTTTGTTGTTCGCACCTTCCTGATCATCACCCGCTCGCCTTTCCCGTCTTTTTCCAGTCGCCCAGCTCGTCGCCGACATCAACGCAAGAATCAAGATGGACGCCGCTTTCGAAACACCCTTTGACGATCGGGAAGAGAAGGCTCAAGACCAGGTGAGAGCCCCCATACTGAGCTGGGGGATACCTCGAACTGACAGGCTTCACCCATCTAGGTTGATCACTCTAGATACGGCAAGCTCGCCTTGAGGCTCGACGAAGATGGATGGCTGCCTCTAGTCCGCGCCGCGTACGATGACGAGAAGCTCACCGACAACAATTTCGCCAAGCGCTGCAGCCTCGAAGATTGGATCAGTGTTTCCGATGACGCCTTGTCTACCGTCGAACCCGCGATACTCAAAGCCATTTGTTCTGGAGACGTGAATGCCACGGTCAAAGGCGATAGCGACCTGGGCAAAATCATCCAGTTGTACGAAGACCGCGCCGATAGCCAGGCGACTATCTATCTGCGACAGATGACGGTTGGTATTGGACAAGAGGCACTTTCTGTCACTCACGCACGCGACCTTGCTTTGGTCGCTATGCAGTACGCGAATCAAGACACCTCAGACAGCGCTGCGGATATGGCGTATGCGATCGACAAGAAAGCGCTTGATGACGACTGGCATATTCGCTACACCATCAGCGGACGGCGCCACTTCATCGAGGGCAGCAAAGGCGACGTCGATGTCGGAAAGACGCGCGTGCTGCAAGGCTTTTCCCGCGCGTTGACTCGTTTCGCCGACCAGGCCGATAAGAACAACAAGGCTTATATTCCTTTCCTACAGTTCGTCGGCTACGCAAGCAGAGGCCATCAAGATAGGTCGCAACACGGAGAAACCTTCACTGGAACGAGTTCGCTGTTCGCCTTCACCAAATGCTGTCTTGAGAGCTGGAAGAACTTCAATCCGGTCGAGATGCATCACTTCACTATTTGTCTGATCCCCGATGATACTGGAGGACCTGTCGCCTATATGCTTCTTGCCCGCCTTGCACGCGCATACTACTTCGCTGGCGGCCTCAGCATCGGTCAAGCAGCAGGCAGTATGTTGAGCCTCAGCCTGAGCAAGTTTAACCCCCAGGAACGCGGAAATGGGTGGATGGCGAACACCCAATGGGCCAAAGATTACGCCAACTACGATAAGACCTTGGAGAAAGAGGTGGCTTCCCGTACAAAGCTGCAGAAGGCCGAGCACAAGGCCGGCATGAGCGCAGAAATAGAAGAAATCACGGACTTCAAGACAAGGCTCCAGAGCATGCGTGAAGCCGTCGAGGAGATTCGGGAAGAGCACCGGCTGTTAGACGATTGGCAGGAGTTTGAGGACCATTTCCCGGATGAGTACCAGGAGTTCAAGGAGTTGGAAAAGTTCGCTATGGAGATGACAAAGGCGCTCGCTGAGGCTGCGACATCATGATTACTGCTACCTACACTTTTGTTTGGATTGTGTGGTTTGATACATTTGAAGTAGTAGGTAATTTGGAGTGGTCGTTGAAAGAATAGCGTGACTGCACTAGCCAGCTGATGTCTTTGGGCACAGTCAGATGCTTTCACAGCTTGTATTGACGCGGTCAGTTGACTAATCTTTCCCAACCGACGCTAAAATTTACTGATTACCCAAAAATTCGGACATTATCACATGGCCTTACTTCAACTCTTTTCTTTCACAACACATGTACCCCAGCTTACGCGACTCTGTTTCGAATGTTAGATCTTGGTCAACTGCGGTGATAGAAGGACGTCGTCTCTATTTAAATATACATATCTGTGAGTTGCGATCTGTAGTTGATCACTGTGTCTCTTTCACTCAAAGGTTACACGCTTGGACAGTTTCGCGAGCGCGAAAATCTCTTCGCGCGCACCTGCCTGCACTTACATCGTCGTTACCCAAACCAGCTCAAATTCACACTTCTCCTCTCCCTCTACGCCTGAACTCGCGACCTATCTGGTCCAAGAATAATGGTGGGTTGCACGGACAGGTTCGTTGCCTATATGCGCACCCTTGCCCATCCGAGCAGGCAGGTGCACCAAGCGGCTGCGCAGCCCTTTCAACCTACCGACGTCGAGAAGAAGCACGAAGAGGAACTCGATCAACAGACTGTTCTCACCAAGCGTCACGCCGACGAGCACGCCGACGAGAAGCAATCTCGCGTTCTTCTACTACAAGCCGCCGCATTTCGCCACAAGCTCAGGGATGTTGAGGCCAAACACGCGAACCAACTGAGGGCAGTTCTGGACGGGCAGGAAGAGCTGATGAGGCAGAAAGAGGAGCTCGAGAAAAAAATTGAGAAGCTCGAGATTGAACAACGAGAAGCGTTCAACAGGTGAGTAACAATGAAGATCTGTATCGCCAGATTCAAAGATTACTAACAGTGTCGCAGCTTCACCGCACAGCGCGCCAAACAAAGGAGTAGTCATCACACGATCGTAAAAAGGCTTGGAGTTACTCTTCAGAACGCTCTCGGAGGCGTTGCTGAGCGCAAGGGTAAATGGTTTCGACCAGCTAAGCAGGATGTCACCTCAGAGATCAACGGCCTGGTCTTCACCATTGGAACTATGACAGATCTGTTGGATCGTATGATGGCGCTTCTGCTCGAGGCCAGCCAGGAGCTCGAGTTGGGCGAGGACTATCCCGGGGAAGAGTTCATGCTAGCCCGAGTGCTCGGCTCCATGAGGAGACGCATCCTAGCCTCAGAGAAACTGAAAAGCGGTCTACACCATCAAATAGACCGACGAGTTCCTGAAATCCTTGAAAGAGCGTTACCCTCATCCACAAGCATCGAGCTCAAGCTCGACTCCCTGTTCGACCGGGTCAATACTACTGTTCGCGATCAGAAAAGCGCCGCGCTTGATGAGAAGAACGCGGCGGTTGATGCTCTTGAGGGGGACTTGGACGCCTACCTCCAAGATGCATGCACTAGTTTGTACCGTCCCAAGATCTGCGAGAGCAGTATTCAACAACGGGTCAAGAAATTTTTTGACATACTTGTCGCTGAGTACCGCCGCGACCAGCGTGTCTACAGAGAGCTCATGGATAAGCTTCGCGTTTCCGCGAGCAACAATTCCATGAGCATTTCGGTGCATCCTCGAAGAGTAGACATATGTGTGCGCTCTTACATCGATGCCGTTGACGTTAGGCTTGGGTCATCCCCTCGTCCCAGGTATGACGCACCCTCGCCGGTTGTTTGAGCAGCTTGACATGTCTGCGTAGCCTTTGGATTATGCATTGGGCGAAGACGGCCGAGACGGTGATGACAGCGTAGAAGACAGAAAAGACGCAGTGGAGGAAAGCACGATGTCGGGAGGACAGTAAATAGCTCACGGTGAATACATTAGATCAACACCCTGGCACTGCATCGACAGTTGAGTACTGCTACGTGTTCATGATCCCCGACCACAGTAAATCTTATCAAATTGCGCGAGTGTTCAGAGGATCTTTGCGTGATTTCCTGGAGTCGCTAGCGTGACAGCCACGCGTGTTTGCTGCTCACCTGCCTTACACATTTCCCACGTCTCTGACCCTACGTTGGTCCGCCGCCCTTGTCGCACACCCCACCTCACCACATACCAAAACGCGCAACACGATGTCGACAGCGGCACAAGATACTGCCCCGCTTCGGCTACGACAGAGCCTATACCAGTTCGTCCAAGACGCCTTTGTCGCTGCGAGAGTCTCCACGGACAACTGGCCTCAAACTTACGAAGATGACGATGAAGTCAACGCCGCGACCGCGGAAGGGTTCATTGCCGAGCGTTTGGGCGCTTTGCAGCGAGGGATCGAGCAGCAGCGTCAAGAAGCCAAGGAAGAATGTGACAAGTCCATTCGCAAAGGAAGTGAAGCAATGAATGCGCTGGTCAGCCGTGTTGGTGGGGGCGAAGCAGAGTGCACACCTACTATGGAAGAGTACGGCGCCTGGATGACAACACGTCGGATGGTGATCGAGGAAGGAATCAACAATCTCGACAAGACTGCCAACGACGCCGTCAGCGCGTGCAAGCGGACAACTTCGACGGTCGATGATATCTTCCAGGACCTATTCCACGCGAACAAAGTCGATAAGCCGGAATGGAAGATCAGCAAGGCAGTCCACAAGGCCACGAAATTGGAGGAAATCGAAGCAGCCGACGACGCGGTTGCATTCTTCCGGTCGCTGCCCGCCAAGTTGGCGCTGGGTATAGTCGACCAGGAAAACTCTTCCCTACGTCTGAAAAACGAAGTGCTACAGCTCAAGCTCGACCGAAATCGCATCGTCTCAGATCACACGGAGTTCGTTCGAAGCGTATACGAGGATATGGGACTGGATGTGAGTCAGTGGAGGCCTCCTACGAACGAAGATGATGCAGCTGTCTTCAAGTCTTGGCTTCAGGAACGACAGATCGAATTCGCCAGCAGGTGGAAAGCAGAAACCAAGGCTCGTGAGGAGGCTGATGAGGACTTCCAGCACTACAACTACGGCGTACTCATCCAATGGATAGGACGTAAGTTCTGGGACCGCATACAAGGAATGCAATTACGACTCGACAAAGACGCCAAACTGGAGCCCTTCGATATTGACGAGACGTTTTCTTCGTGGGAAGTCAACAGGAACAATATCAAGGTAATGTCAGAGTGGCTTGACGACGCTGGCGTCTGGGTTGAGAACATCATCCGAGAGAGATCTTCCGATGCGATGATCATCCTTGGTCAGCGGCGGAAGTGGCGGACCGTTGCTGAAGACGCGGTCGATCGGATGGAGAATATGCGACGCACTATCGCGATGGCGAAGAAGGCTGTGTTCAGGCAGTATAAGACTATCGCTCAGCTTCGTACTGCTTCCACGTAATCGGCCCACGTTTGTTCCCACAGGACCAAAAACGTCCAGCGCCCTACACAACGTGCGAAATCTGAAGTCAACGTTCGTCGCATGAAGAACCTTCTGCGTAACGAGCTTTATCGTCGACATATCTTTCTTTGTCCGAAACAACGACAAGAAAGAGCTGATATAGTTCAATAGATAGCCTGCGCGAGTATGAAACCTTTGCTCTCTGTGCAACGTTCTCTCTTTACCTCCACAATAAAACTTCTTTTCTACAAAATGAATCGTTCGAATCGGGCATGTCTCTGCCTTTTGCGCCTTCTTCTCCAAGTCCAACCCGACTCAAAAGTCACAACGTGTACTAAATGTGCAAAGCACGACGCGGAGCCTGTACAAAAGACTTCAGTAAAAAGACATGTCTTCCTCGCGCGGGCTCAGATACTGTCATCAAAAGTCGCATTCTGATGAAGTCATGCTAGTACTGCCTGAGCGTACGGATATATAAAGCACACGCCGTTCTCACAGGCTTCCTCCTTATCCACACAGTACCCAGTTTGTTTACCAAAAAGAGAAGCCAGTGAACCTATGTCTGCGTTCTCCGCGCCTTCGTCGCAAATCTAGATCCATTCAAAAGCACGAAACTTACACATTATGTAGCAACGCAGGTCTTGAGGTTTTGTTCAAAGTCAACGCGCAGTACTTCATGCGTTCGTTGCGCGCTCTCGCGATTGCTTTATCAAAAACGCAACAGGCATGTGTATGAGAGTGCTGCTCTGGCGTGCGGGTATATAAACTCAACGCCATCTTCACTCATGTTCTACTCACCCACACAAGGCGTACTGTTTCGCCAAAAACCACAGTGAAACATTATCATGTCTGGTCCTCTGCGGCTTTGTCGCAAGCCTGACTCTACTAAAAAAACAGCCCACCAACTACATGTGGCCGAGTAGAGCCTCGGCTCTTGTTCAAAGTACACACGTGGATATCCATGTCTTTGGAAATGCTGCTCGGCTCTTGCTGTCCGATAAGGACGAGTTGGTTTCAAAGCGGTGCTGCCCAGAAGCGTGGGTATATAAATTCGCCCATTACCGGTTCTTCATGTCTCCATGAATCACTCCTAGAGTCCATTCTCCGAGAAATGTTGACGCATGGTTTATGTCCTTCGTCGGCCTTCTGTTTCTTCTCGAAAAGATGAACAATGAGGAACATGGCGTTTTTGGTTTGAGAACTAAAATTTTTCGACACTATGATCGAGCACTGCACTTCCTGACGGACTGCGTTTTCACAAAACCGAAATGCTTGACTGAGCCATGGATGTCCTTTTCTTTTTTCGCAGCACCTCTCATGATTGGATATAGTGGAAGAAACCCGGTAGTTTGATTTCCCTTCAAAGCGAAGTCCAAGCAAATGATGCGCAAAAGTCCTGTCCAAAAGGACATGTCCAGTGCGGTGTGGCAGCAAAACGGCGATGGCGGGCGACCAAAACAATATCTCGCCAATGTGATGACATGGAGGAGCGAACAAAAAGGCGACGGGGTGCAGACAAGGACGGTGCGCCTTCTGAGATTGATCTTCAAAAGAAAGGTTTGAGAACGTCATGTTCGAGTGTGCCAAAGGTTGCATGATCATGGGTGAAGATGCACAGTACCAAGATCATCGTGATGAGGTTGATGTGAAGAAAGAGCTCTGGAGCCCAAGTTGCATTGATGCGCATAGTTGAACGCCGTCGACCATTATCCAAGTCCCTGGCCGCAGCCATACCAAAATCCCGACCAGACATATCCATGCCGTCCCAGTATCCAACCCACCAAAAAGAAAAAGAAAAGAAAACACGATCTATATGCCGCAAACCAAACACGCGCACGCAAATGCCATGCTATGTTACAAGCGGTCTATACGTCTATGCCAAACAGCAGTCGCATGTATAGGTAATGACCGTCATCGTCGGACCGATCGCTCGTCGACGAAGAAGAGGAAGAAGGTGTCGGGGGTATCGCAGAAGTGTGTAATTCGTAATCGTCATCGCTTAAACGATGAGCAGCTTCTCAACGTTCTCGCCCGCGCTGCGCTCGCTCATGCGGTTCCATGCGGCGTAGGTAAGGACACCGCAGGCGGCCCACATGACGGGGACGGCGGCTTCGGCGCCAGCTAGTCAAGATGTTAGTAAGGTCGCTTTGTTTTTTGACGTTCCTTTTCATGACGTACTTGGGCGCTCGGCCTGCGCGGCCATCTCCATGACGCGGGCTGCGCTGCTGGTCGAGCTGGAGGAGTTGGCGCGGATGGTGGCGGGTGCGATGCGCTTGCCGGCGAAGGCAGCGGTTATGGGGACGCGGGTGGCGATGCGTGCGAACATGTTGTTGATTTGAGTTGTTGAGGTTTGAGGATGTAGTATCGAGGAAACCGAGTTTATGTAGCGACAAGTGGCGACGTGAGTAATCTCAGTAATGACACGTATAAACAAACAATAGTCGTCGTCGTAGTAAACCCTCTTAAAGATAGACAAAGTAACTCTAATGTTTCTAATGTTTTAACGTAATTTTATTACTAAGACGCTAGTCTCTAAGTAAGTTTTCTTCTATAATTTTACTTTAGCATTTTATTATTTTTACTAACTTATATCTACTAGTCTACTCTAGCTTAAAGCGCTTTTTATAACTAGCTATAATTATAGTACTAATTTTACTTTTTTTTTTCTACGCACGCGTAAGCTACGCTTTTTTAGTATTACTAAGAGTACTAGTAATATACTTTATAAGTAGCTTATTTAGAGTATTAATTTTTAGTTAAATAAAGTTAATATTATTATAATTTTTATTTATATACTATTAGTAAGCCTACTTTATTATTACTTTACTTACTTTATATAAACTAATTTTTTTAAATATTATAATAGCTAGCTTAATAGTTTTATCTTTTTTTAAATTTTTAATAAGTTTTTTAACTTTCTAGATTATTCTTTATACTTCTAGTAATTAGAGGTTTAGTAAATATCTTACTACTAGTAGCTTAAATAGTTAGTTATAGCTAAGAACTAAGCTATTATAGTATTTTATTACTATATTAGTAGAGAATTTAAATAAAGTTAGTATAATATAACTTAAAATAAGTAGTAATAGTACTTTATATACTTAAACTTTAACTATAGTTCTACTATTTTATTATAGAGTTATTTTAAAAACTTATTACTATACTATAAATATATATAGAGATGTACTAGCTTAGAATTTATTAGTAAATTATAGTTATTATATACTTAACTACTTAAAGTACTATTAAAGTTATTATAATTAGATTATTACAAGATAAGCGCGTAAACAAGAAGAAGATAGACAAAGTAAACGTGCGTAGTTTTAAGTAAATCTAGAGAAAGAGAATACAGACACGGAACACGGTTTATATAAAGAAAGTGGGCCTAGGGAAGGAGTTGACAGGGCTGAAGGGAAAGGAGGCGAGGCCGGACATGGCGCGAGCAGAAAATTTAGGGGCGGTGAGCGATCCGTGCAGGGATGTGCCAGGTCGAGATAGGCTTGGCTGCCAGCACGTGAGTGGGTCGGGTGCGGAAAGAGCAAAGCGAAGTCTGGGGTAATGTCACTTTTGAGGAAGGCATGGCCCTTGCATCACGCGGCCTGGACTCATGCTGAGAAGTCTTGAAGATGATGCATTCGATGTATTGCGATTGAATGCGACTGGATACAAGGCTTTTTAAGCTCCGCCGGCTCTATCTCGCAAAGAGCCGCAGAGACCCTGCTTTGAGATCGGCACTGCGGCGCATCCCCGGCCTTCTAGACGAATCTACCGAGAATTAACCTGCTCTCGCCACCCCAGTCTCAACAACAACTCAACAACAATTCTAGCGTACACTGTTCAGTCCCATACACTCCAATATTGTTCGTCATTTCCGTGCGGTCGTTACGTTCCGCTGCAATACATACGAAGGCCGTCAATCTCGGGTCGTCACTAACAACGAGTTCGTCGGAATCTATTCATTCTGATCTACAAACTTACTTCCGCACGCGATACCGAGCGACGGCTGTCAAAATACATTATACGTACACACTATGTCCATCACCTACTTCTCATTAACATCAGGAAGATGCGAAAAGCCTCCGCTCATGCATTCTTCCACAAGAAGTCCTCGACCTTCTTCCCCTCGCACACCTTCATAATTGAGTCTCGCATTATAACCACTGGAGGCCTCTCGCGGAGTCTATTATCCCGTTTGTTCTTGCAACCCGCTTGTTCTACAACGACGTCAGTCATGGTAAGTCGAAGACAGCTTATCGCCGATTTGATGCAGATACGCTGCACTTCCGACACATTGCTAAATCCAGGACTGCGGGTGTACTCCGGCGGCCATGCCGTAGATCCCAATTCTTTGAAGCGTCGCGCGATTGCGATCAGGATCTCGGTGCAAAGGTCCAGGACTGCAAAGCAGTTCAATCGCGCTATCGGAAAGGAGCCCTCATATTCTGGTCGGAGGACCTCTCGAGCCCGACGAACGAGCTCGGATGGGGAGAACCTAGCGAATAACTCCTCGTGTGATGTGAGCTTTGGGAACTTTCGAGTGAACTTGTCGTCGTCTATGAGTTTCTTCCAAAAGTCCATGTCGGGTGTGTAGAAGTTATGGAAGCTGATCGCCGCGGAAAGATTCATCTTCGACATGCTGATCTTCTGATCCTTGCAAAAGGCTGTGCGAGGCTCTTCCCTTGGCGCTTCTGTAAGCATGGCTCGGGCATTGCCCAACTTCTTGTAAATCTTAGCGCCGCAAAAGAGTTCGAAAACGTTCGCAAAGTCTTTTGTCGGCTCTTGACCTCCCGCAAAAACAACCGATTTGAACGCATTACGGAGCTCTTCAAGTATTGGAATCCGATCGCACCCACCATCGATCTGCTGCAACATGTTGTACAGATGCATTACAGCGCCAAAGATGTTCTGTTCGTTAAGGATCTCGAGGCCGACGTAGAGAGTCATGTCTGAAATGGCGGACATGTAGCTTCCTGTGACCCAGGGAGACTGGGAGTAAACATCGAACGTTTTATCCGAGAGAATAATCTTCAGTTTCTTGTCCAGACTGATCATAACATCGAAAAAAGTGCGGTAGTATTCGACTCTGGTCCCACGGGGCTTGTGGACTAGTCGCTGCATGGCGCTTAATACTTCGTTCGCGCGGCTAAGTACGACGATTCGACAGTTCGGTGGGGACTTCCCCATCTTCTCATACTCGTGCAGAAAGCTACGCCCACTCTCAAGAAGCATATGCGCCGTCGCTACGGTTGCGGAGCACGAGGTCTTCTCTTTGACGCGAACCATCATGGGGAGGTTTAAAGGATGTGGCATGTGCGCTCTAAAGGGAAACTGCCTGTGCGTATGTATCTGATCCATATAGGGCATGGTTTGATGCGTTTCAAAGGCTGGGTGTTGAGCAATACCCCTGATCATAGATACGAGCAGCCTCCTGTCGTGTGTATACCGATCGGCACAAATGGTCGACGCTCTTATCTCACGCTCGGCATCTGAAAGTTGATCTCCATCGAGGGATGCTAAGTCTGTTACGGACTGCGCGAATGTTTTCTTCGCCTCATGCTCTTCAGAGGCATTGCGAAAGAAGGTTTCGAAGCGACCCCGCTCTTTCTCAAAGGACGGCGGTAGTTCGTGTGTTTCGGCGAACGTTTTGAAGAGTTGGGTAGGCCAGATCAAGCCACAACCATGTGTTAACTCAGCAAAATTTGCGGCCGAGGCAGTTCTGCTAAAGTCTGCAGATGCCAGTTGCTCGGCGGTTGTCGCTGCTCGCGGGCGGCCAAATTCTCCAAAGTCATGAAACAAGCCCTCCTCGTAATTGTACATCTTCGCACCTTTGATTCTCACTAATTCCAGGAAATGAAGAGCGAAATTTGTCAACCAGCCAGCAACTGCCAGAGGCATTTCCCCAGCTGCATAGGACGTCCAGATTGCTTTTGTAGTCTCCACGATGGCTTGAAATTCCGTCAAGTACGCGCGCACCGCGAAGACTAGCTCCATTGGGTCATCTGCGATAGCTGAGCGTTTAGTGTTGGGCGATGGTATGTCTTCTTTCCAGTACTCGGATGCGGAATAGGATGAATCTTGCTCAGCTTCGATTAGTCCAGCCAACGTTTCGAAGTTGTTCTTTGTCGCCAAAGTGGGTTTTTCGGGCGGCGTCCTGGGAGTACCCTTGGAGCCCTTGCTCCTCCGCTTCTTCGGCGCGGGGAAGAGCAAGGCATATGCCTCAGCCAACGTCTCGTTGAATATCTTATGGCGGTCCGTTGAATCCTGAACTCCTTGCGTTGATACCGGCAGTGACTCGTAGTACTTGGTCAGCGTGCTGCGGTTCATGATGACCGTCTTGAAAGCCATCTGGATGTCCTCCGGCGGCCGCTTTCCCATGCTTGCAGCTTTCCGAGCCCGATCGAATATCTCGCGCACTGTTATATCATCATTCTGTAAGTCTTCTTCCTTCTTTGCGCCGCAGCGCAGATTGGTTGTACCTACTGTATCGAATGTGTGCAGCCAGCGGATGACGATCGAGGTGCCGCGCTTGTACGTTCGATAGACGTCGGATAGGTCGTATGGGAGCGGCTCCGACGTCTCTGAGGGGGTGCGAGTGAGCATCTTGATGCTGTGGGCGATGGAACTCGATTGGGATGTCGTGGTGCTGAGCGGGATGGGAGCCGAAATTGTGAGCGTGGTCGATATTGTGTTAGTGTAAGGTGAGGCGAAGTCTTGAGACGTGATAGCTCGAGGGTTGGTTGTCGTGTAGCTTTGACGATGGACAAAATCCACGAGTGCGAAAGCTTGGGGTTTTATTCTGCGGCACACAGTAAGATATTCATTTCCAGGCTGCCATGCAGGCAATCATCGTGCGCGTGATTGGTGACAATGCTCTAGCGGGCTACCGTCCCATAGTTCTACTGTCGCGTAGTCGAGGGACATCCGTAGAACATTTCCAGCCTCTCACAAGCTGTTGTCGCATGATCCCGTGGGTCAAACCAAGCCTACCACCAGATGCGCGTGTTCTGTGTTCAGAACCGTGGTACAGAATCGTGATCGGTAATTCACGGGAAACATCACCGCCGACTTAATCAGTACTCCAGGTCTACCCGAAGCTGGCGCGCGCATGCAGCGGTGATGGCTCATACCAGGCAGCTCGATGCGTCATTCGAGGAGGAGAAAGCGCGGATGTTGCACGTATGAGTAGTTACCGTCACAGCTAAGTTAATTGCACATTGGGAGTTACTAATGCGCGTCAAAGATGCCCGGAACATACGCTGCACAAATGATGTTGGTAGTTGTTGTGATGGAAGGCTGCTGCGGAAACGTAAGCGGGGAGATTGTTCGGCGGACTAGCGCGCCAAGCATTGATCAGCACACGATCTGGTGAGGCTAGCGCACCCTCGTTGGGCGAAACGGAAGGAACGGTCTCGGACTACTCATCAACATGCAAGCAACGTGCCCTTTCGACCACTATTAAAAGCGATGATAACAGCACATATACTCAGCTGTAACGTGTTCATTACGGCTAACAGATTCATAAAACACGCGACACTACCTAGGTATCATCAGACCATCCGCTAAATCCACCGTGTCTGCCTTACATATCCTTCCATAGGTAGTCCTCCGGCTTGACGTCTCCGCAAACCTTGACCATAGCGTCACGCAGGAGAGCCAAACACTCATTTTGCCTAGCCCGCTTCAGCCCCGCAGCTCCTGACTTCAAGTCTTGGTGATTAATGAAGAGCCTGGCCTGCTCCAAAAAGTCGTTGGCAGCTTTCACAGTGTTTGATGAAACGTCGGGAAAGCTATCAACCCCGGAGTTCTCCACGATGGTCCTCCTCCATAGTTGCATGTCTTTTGGTAGACCCCCTGGCTTCGAGATCCGGTGGGCAACATCCCCGAAGAAGTCGAGCATCAGTTCCACAATAGCGAAGAAGTTGACCTTTGCTACTGGAAACGGCCCTTCGAATTCCGGTAATATGTGGTCCTTCGCGCGAAGTAGGATCTCGGAAGGCGTGAAGTGGGCCAGGACGTTGGGCCTAACATCGTGCGTTCTGTTAGAGAGCCGCTTGTCCGTGATCTTGACTAGGAACTTGGTGTCCAAACGGCAATGAAGCATGGTCTGGGTTGCGAATTCTGACATGGTCCACATACTGATTGGAGGGGCGGTTCGAACGTTCGTCATTCTTTTTGCCGTTCTTTTCAACCCGGCGAATACCGGCATTCCATTTCTCATGTACCACAGCTCCTGGCCATTGGTGACCCGAGCCGTGTTATCAAAGTTGGATGTGGGCCGTCCTTGAGAATGTGGAAAGATCGCCGGGCTGAGAAGGTCGCAAAGATGCTCCAAGATGGGAATACGGGGGCAAGAGAACCCAATCTGTCGGAGCATATTGTACATATGCAGCATGTTGGAGAGACATCCGTCCTTGTTAAGCGGCCAGCTACCAACTAACATGTTGCGCGCCGCGATGGTCGCCATGTAGCTCCCAGCGACCCACGGTGATTGCGAGTATAAGTCAAACACCTTCAGGGCACTGAATTTGTCGAGTTGTTTGACGTAGTCCTTCGCCCTGGGGCTCCAACGGTCTAACGACTCGGCCTTGGCTGGATCTTTGCCGGCTTCAAGTAGCTTTAAGATCGCATTCCGGCTGTCGTTTGCGAATGATAAGACTTTAATGCGGCTGTTCGTAATACGCAGATACTCGGTAGGCTTCGGTGGGTTCAAGCTGCTGCGGCAGCTCTCTACGAATAAGTGTACCCCCATGATGAGACTCGTTCGCATTATCATCTTGGGCTTTTGGGCTTCTTTAAGTAGCCATAAGAGAGGGACGCTTAGCGGGAACTGGAGATTGTCCTCGCCATACGAATCCTTCATCCAATCGCTTCTACAACTCAACGAATCCATCATTTCTTCGAAAGGTGAGGCCCACAACGGATGTTGATAGATGCTTCGGAACATAGACCGCACAATGTCTTGATCGTGTTGGTATCGCTTGTTTGCAATGTTTGTGAGCTTTTGGACATGCTCAGCGACAGTATTGGCCTCCTTTGTTGGAAGGTAGGCCAGGATCGAATCAACGAAGTCTTGCTTAAGGGCCTTCTGTTGCGAGTGCGCCTTGAAATAATCTTCGAACTTGCGGCGCTCCACGAGGTTCAAAGACTCATCTTTTGCTCCGATTAGCGCCTCGAATTGACAGAATTCGTTGTATGGCCAGATGAGACCGTAACCGTTAGTTAGATCTTGGAAGACATCTTGCTCATGGCCTGATCTAAATCCTTCAGGATCTTGCAACCACCTGGGCACAAAGCTGCCTCTTGCTTCTGCCGGGTTGTCTTTTTCATGGAAAAAGGACCTCAACAGTGCGTCATGATGATCCGTAACGGGTGATTGTGAACGAATCCATTGGATCAAGTAATTTTGCACCATGTTCGTGAGCGATCCTGCCGCAGCCAGAGATATTTCACCAGCAGCAACGGAATTCCATAAATTCTTGATCGTCTCGATGGTAGTTTGAAGCTCTGTAACGTAGGTATGCAGCGCAACAGCTTCGCCAACGGAGTCGTCGGTGATGGAAGAGTTGGCGGAGTTACTGGGGGCTTCAGCTTGCCAAAAGTCTGATGCGCAGGCGTCGAAATCGGGCTCCTCCTCAACAATATGAGCTAGAGTTTCGAATGAGTTAACGGTGGGTGTCGCTTGCGAAACATTCGTGATTGGCCTCTTCGGTTTGCCCTTTGGTGACTCTGGCGGGAAGAGAATCGAATACGCCTGGGCGAGAGTCTCATTGAAGACTTTGTGACGCGTTGTCGCCGCGATGGTATCAGCCGACGCTGTAGGGAGACGATCGTAATACTTGGTGAGTTTGTTACGGTTGACGAGAACGACCTTGAACGCGTCATGAATCGTTTGTGGAGGGTTACGTTTGCTTTTCGAGGCTTTCTTCGCTTTCTCCAGCAGTTGCTTGATGGTAATGGCATCCGCTGCTGATACTGGCGTGGGGCTCCTGTCGAATGATGTAAGCCATTCCAGTACCAAACATGTTCCGCGCTTGTACGTCTGGTATACGGTAAACAGGGTTGACGGCAGCCGATCGTTGCTGGTGGGAGTTGATGTAGCCATCTTGATAGTTTATTAGCGTACAGGGGATTACGTTCCTCATATTGTAGCCACAAAGCATGAAAGACGACTGTTCGTTCAACTGTTGTCGGTTCTACCGCGATCGGTCGAGCTGGATGATGCAACCATGGTTCGCTCCATGAGTCACTCCCAGACACATAGCGCACGATCTTACCTCGCCCAGATCACGGAATGTGCACTTCGCTGTGCGGAACCTCTGTGATGTCTTGAGGTCGCGAGGAGAAGACATCTCACTAAAAGCGCGCAAAACTAGACACAATAAGCCATCGTAGCCGCCTCACTGAAGCGTGATGATGTCGCGCGTAGCTAGCAAAAACGTGCCACCTCGAGGCTGCGGGAAGGAGACATCTCACGCGATGCGCGCACAACTGGACACAATATACCATTGTAGACGCCTCGCTGAAGTGTGATTTCGCGGTAGAACAGATCGCCTCGAGGCTGCGTGGACACGACATCTGACCGGGAACGCGCAAAACGCGATACAACAAACCATTGTAGGCGCCTCGCTGCACCGAAATTTTGCGCATCGATCAAGAACATTGCGGGAGCGATACCATCAGTGCAAAAGCCGAGGTGATGACTGGATGCAACGACTGAGCCATCCGTGGAACGAAGATGAGTCCCCGACCGCGCTAGCCTGCATGCGGACCACCAGCCAGCGACTGCCATCAGGGACAGAGGCGATGTCAGCAAGCAATGCGCACATTCCATGGCTGGCATGAGCGTGATAGCCATTGGCGAAAGGGAATTCTTGGGGATGTGAGGAAGCGACTCTGGGTGCGCGCACGCCTGCAGACGTCATCGACAAGAGGGAAGCACAGCAATCGCCATCGCGACTGCTTAACATCCGCAGATAAATCTGGTAGATCATGGAAGACGTATGCGGCAACAGCGATAGATGGCTCTCGGGGGTGTCTGGATGAAGAAATCGCTCAAAGTCCCCGCACGCCTAAAAAAGTCATCAACAAGAGTGAAGCGCAACGAAAGCTAGCAAGACTGTTCGATCTCAGCGTAATGCGTAAATGCCATCGTGTCGCTGATCTGAACGCGGCAACGGCGATAGGTGGCTGGCGAGGGTGCGCTGTGCGTGTGCGAGGATGCAGCTCAGGGTCTTCGTTCCGGTAGACGTCATCAATGGAAGCACAGACACTGCGCAGGAAGGCGCGACTGTGGACTCATATTTGATGGAGTGAATTAATATCTGACATACTCATTAGCTGCTTTCTCGCAGGCTTATCAGAAAAAGCATACCTATACACAAACTCCGCCCAATGCTTAGGCAGTCAAAATACCAGTCCAGCAATCAACAATCCAGAGGTCCCAGTCCCTCTCTAAACCCCCATTCCTTATCCCGACCCAACCCCCACTTCCCTTCTCATTACAACATCCCCTCATCCCTCATCATGACTTCCCGCCCTTCCGTTGCTTAACCCTCGACCCAATACTATCACTTCCACTCGCCTGCAACCCCGCACCACTCGCCGGCGTACTCGGCGTCTCCTCAATCCTCTCCATATCCTTCTCAACCTCCACATCCTCCTTGATCAACTTCTCCGTCTCCTCTGTCTCTTCATCCGTCGGCGCGTACTCGCTACGGTCATCATCCGCGTCCTTGTACACGACAAAGCGGTATGCGATCCTGCAGATGAAGAACCACCAGAAGAGGTTGACGGCCTGCAGCGACGCGAGGAGGGCGAAGGTGATGTATTGACTGATCCAGCACTTGTACTGTTGCGTTTCCCAGTTGAGCTCGAACGGACCGACGGTTTTGAAGGTGGTGAGGATGGAGTAGATGATTTTGAGGTTGATGTAGTGGCGTGTGTAGCCCCAGATGACCATGAAGACGAAGAAGTAGGGGCCGACGATGGGGGAGTCGATGTAGTTTAGGCATTTGGACGTCTAGATCGCGTTAGTGAATCAATCTTGGGGTTGGGGAGAATTTTGACTTACAGCCAAGAAGAAATCCGACACATCGTGCGTGATGTACACTGCAATCCCCATGTACGTGAAATGAAACCTGTAGCTCAACCAGATCAAGCTGACAGTAATAACATGATGCGCAACCAACTCCTTAAAGTCCTTCCGCGGCTTCTCCAGCATAAGCAACAGCACAATCGCCTGCTGCGCCCAGTAACTCGCTTGGAGGAGATAGTACGCCTTGACAACGGCCTCGTGCGTGCGGTGCGGAAAGCCCTCATACATCCCAATAGGATTGAAGTACCACACCGGCGTGCGACTCATAATCCAGATGCCAAACGGCCCGTACAGCGCAAAGTACAGCGCCGTGTACGCCTGCTCCATGAACCTGCTCTGTTTATCCCTATTCTTGATCCCAAGCTTTACCGCAATCGGGCGAATCAGTCGCTGCATGCAGAACTCGCGCGTGAAGCTCAGCACGATGATGTAGAAACCGACGAAAGCAAAGTCACGCCCGCCCTTGCCGTAGTGAACTGGGCCATTGGGATCCGCGCGGACGTAGGCGGGGATGAGCGGGTCGTCGCGTGCGAGCGGGTAGGACAGGAAGAGGCAGGCGGACAGCGGGTTTGATTCGTAGGGGTAGACGAGGTAGAGGGCAACGATTGTGAGGCCGAGGATGAGCGGCAGCAGCCAGGTATGGCGGATGCATTGGCGCTTGAATTTGGAGAGGTAGCGGCGTGTTGTTCGTCGTTTGGAGCGGCGGGCGGACTTCTCTGGTTTCTGCGGGAGCTGTCAGCGCGTGCCCTGCATACCCTGGATGAGGGCCAAAAAAGCACTCACCGAGTCCATGCTCGTCGGGCTGTTCAGCGGCGGGGTGCTCGTGCGGTGTGTAGCCAACGCTGGGACGTCGACATCGCCAGGTACATCGGAACCCAGCGCACTAGACTTTCTTCTCCGCCTGGCTGCGCCGTGCGTTGCTGTATTGTGTGGCAGTGCGCCGTTGAGGGGAGGAAACGGTTCCGTCATTGTGAGGTTGAGGAGAAGCGGAACGCGGAGGACGGGTCGGTAGTCGCAATACCTTGTCTGTTCTCAAGGAGAAACAAAACACCTCCCAGACGACGTAGAAGAAGCTCCGAAGAAGAGCCTGCAGCAGAAGATATAAAGCGGCTGAGATATAAAAGCGGATGCGTTGCTTCTCCTTTCTCTGGCTTTCCCGAGGCTCGCCGCAAGTCAGGTCTCGCTGGCTCGACGTCCCAAGCAATTTCCGACCGGTGGAGTGGAGCCCTTGGCTTTCCGTAGCGCGTCGATCTGCTGTGAGCGAATGCCAGGGGTACGTCTTATGTCAGCGGCGTACTCGCTTAAAGCTACTGTTTAGAAATGCTGGAGAACCAATGCGACGTGAGTGATGATGCGGATGCGGAATGCTTTTTGGACCCTGATGGAGGTACGGCTCGGGTCCCTTCCGAAATCTGACAGAAAGACAGCAGGAGCGTGCGTCACAAGTGTCGGAACAAGCAATCGAGGCGGGTGATGGGTCGGGGAGCTACCCGGACCAAAAGCAACGGTGATATGGAAGCTTATATTGCGATCATTGGTGTCTGCATCTACATGGCTGCTGTCACCTACTAATACAGCTAGACTACATGTCTTCTACCGATAAACATACATATGCGCTATGCTGCAGGTCTTAGTCTGCTCCCTGCATGACCATGTGCCTGAGTAGGCGCACCATTTGCTTTTATCTCCAATCTCTTCCCCGCAATCTCAAGATTCTTCTTCAATTCAGTCGTCGGTGTGCCAACGCTGCTCGCGGTCACTGTGCTGTCCATGCTTCCTTTTCTGGACAGTACCCCATCCTGCCGCAACAAGCCTTTGATGCCGCCCGCCTTCCGCGCTGGAAGCTCGCCTTTTCCAGCGGTAGCGACGTAAAGTAGGTACTTCAAGTTCGGTAGTGTGTGGCGAATGTCGACGGGGCGCAGACCGAGAGAGTTGGAAAGGATTTCTATGTTCTTGTTGAGGAGGAAGACGCCGTACTCGAAGCGATAACGGACGACGTTCTTCATGTAGAGAGGGTAAGTGCGTTGGGGGTTCTGATTGGCCTGCGTAACGGCGAGTGGGTCGTCAATGGTCGATGTCGAGCCGTGGGGCGATATTGGATACGGTAGTATGACGGAGAGATAGGGCGATAGTGAGTTGACGACTTGCGCGACGTATCCCAACGCTGCCGAAGTAACGTCTGGATTTACTTCGTCGAAATTGGAGTTCGGTAAGAGAAGGCCTCGTATCGTGAATGCGAGCGCTTTGCCCTGAACAGGCTCGATAGGGAAGATCCTGAGGAGATCTTCGCACACCCTTCGCCGTTGGCCAGTGATATCCTCAGCAGCTTTCTCAATGAGTTCCTTACTCTCGGTACACTTTGCTCGTTCTTCATCAAGCGCGGCCTCGGCTTTCGCTTGCAACTCCCGCCCCGCCTGCATCTTCTCTCGTCGATATTTGATGTTGGCTTGAAGCTCGTCCCGCCTTCTCCGCGCAGCCACCACTCTCCTCTTCTCAGCAGTAACAGCAGCCTGGACGGTCCGCAGACTTTCTTCCGTCTCGGGAACTGCCTCGACCGTGCAGATATCCTCCTTGTTCGCCGCAAGTATGCCCTCAATCTCGTCGGCGATCCGGTCCCGTGTAGTCAGCGCATCCTGGATGCAGTCGTCTAGTGTTGATAATCGCATCAGCGCATCGTATGACGAAGAAGTCAGGGCCTTCCCGTCTGGGTTATTCTTCGGGGGTGCGAGAAGTTCAGGGCGCATTCGCTCCTCTACTGGCAGATCCGTGAAGCTGGTGTAGATTCCGTCCGTCATATGGAAGAGTATGCAGTTCTGCGGGAGTGGGTGTCTGAAGCTTCCGAGGCTCCTGCCTATGAACTGCAGCGACCTGAATTGTACTGTGTAGTCCATGAGGTACTGCCAATCCTGCATCGTCTCGCTCTTCGCCCACACCCTCACAGTAAGTTTGTCGAGTCGCGTGACACCAGGGCCACAGGGTCCGAGATCGAAAAACTTGAAGTTTGGGTTCATCGCCTTCTCCGCGACCTCGGAGATGTATACCGGGTCGTCCTGGTCGTCCACATGCAAGCTGAAGAAGGTATCCGCCATGCGCCCTGCGGTAATGTCTTCCAGCTTCTTCTGGCGGAACAGCGGAGTCGCATTGGTCCACTCCATAGTTGAGCGCCGTCGCAGTCCTCTTCCATACCCGGGTCTGGTTGCCGTGTTCGGGGTGGGTTCGCGCAAGCCGCCATTGCTGCGCCGCGTGTCCTCGGGGGAGGTGAGGTCGCTCGAAGATCGCGAATGCGCCAGGCCCCTGCTCTCTCTCAAAGCCAGCGCCTTGGTGGGCGACTTGAGCGTACTCGGTATGGCTTCATCGTCGATGGTCCGCCCGCGCGACTTTGGGGGAGACAAGCTAAGCGTGAGGTTGCGGATGGTGATGCCTTGGAGGTGTCTGAGCTTGCGATTCTGGCAGACTATCAGCGGCTACAACCCTGGTATTCTCGACGCGCATACATATGCAAGCAGCCACGGGCGCTCACGTGGTGGAGACTTGGGCTCGGCTGCCTGGGACTCGCCGGCCATTACGTCGCTGATCTTGTTGGTAGGCAGGGGCGGGGACAAGAAATATTCCGGCAAGTTCTCATCGGAGCATCTTTATGAGCAACATCAAGCCGAGCAATCGCAATGACGCAGCGCATAGTAAAGCTTGGAAGCTTGCTGGTGAACGCGTGTTTGGAGTTCCCAGCTGTCGTATTGGATCAAGCGGACCTCCGCGGCCTGGCCCGTGCTTTTTGAGACTCGCAACTTTCATCCACCACCATCGCCGGCGGCCATTGGCATCACCAACCCGCCGCCATGCCTCGAGCTCTTACCCGGCTGCGGTACAAGCCGCCACTACAACCCATCTCCCTCGCCAGTCCTACCGCCGCCAGCCGCGTCACCCCTCAGCATGTTGCGCATATGCAAAAGCAGATCGCTGCATATGTTGAAAGGCAATCAAATCCGCAGCACCTCCGCATCCAGACCGTCGTAAACGAAAAGGCGAGACGACAAGCGACTGCTCAGCACGTAATCTCACCGGTCAAGCCCTACACTCTTCGTGACGTCGTGGACCCGGAAGGCACTGCCAAGCACGGCGAGATCATCTACATTTTCCGCAACACCAAGTCGAACCAGATCATCTACTCGCTGCAGGAACTACTGGATGTATGTAGAAGCCACAATCTCACACTTCCAATGCTAATGTTGTAGAACCACCACCTCGAACAACTTCCCTTCATTGGCAAGCACTCGAAGCCGCCCGCCCTACGTCCTGACGAATGGGTGCCCCACTGCGTCCTCACCTTCCCTACCCCCAGCCAAGGCCAGAATGCTTTCCGCAAGCTACGCGAGTTCCGCAGACTGCACGAGACGGCCTGGGACAAGACGAACCCCGAGTTCAAGCGCATGGACAAGAAGACGAGGGTCAAGAAGATCATGGACCAGCGCGCCAACACCAGCGCCGACTTGGCGGAAGTGCTGCGGATACAAGAGACGCATGGAGCCAAGACGGCGGAAGAGCAGGCAGAGCAGGAGAAGAAAGTATCGACTTTCCTCGACAAGCGGTGGGAGCAGATCGATGCTCTGGCGAATGCGGGGCTGGCCAAGGCGAAGCCCACGGATAACGTCAAGTGGCTGCAGGGCCAAATACGGTCCATGGACCACAAGCTGAAGATGAAGCACCACCAGAACGAGGCCGATCAGAAGAGCATAAAGGCTGCCAAGGAGAGCCTCGAGACCCGCCTGGGGAAGCTGCAGTACGCTCTGCGAAAAGCGGAGCAGTTCAAGAACCTTCAAGAAGATCTCACCAAGCGAGCGGCGCCAGCCAACGAACTCGGTGCTGAGACGAAGTTGTATGAACTGAAACTCCAGGCCCGCACCCTGCAGGAGGCGCTCGACAACCCCGATCCTACACGTTCCGAGGCAGACCTTGAGCTGGATCGTGAGATTCTCGCAGGTCATCGCGCTGAAATTACCACCCTCGAGCAGGCTTTCGAAGCAAAAGCCCAGGCTGGATCCCGCGACCACTACATTGCCCGTTCCGTCCTGCCCAAAGCCCTCAAGACACCGCCCGTCAAGCCCTACACACTTGAGGGTGTGAGCGTACGGTGGGCCGACATTCAAGACGCCCTCTATGCAGCCGGCAAGTGGCCCGCAGCCATCGAGCACGAGCCTCTGGAGATCAACAAGGCGCGCGGCGAGACGTTGATGCTTTCTGCCGAGGAGTATGAGGTTGAGAAGCAGAATGAGGTTGGGAGGATTATGGATACGCTAAATCTGAGGGAGGGCGAGTATCTGGAAGAGAAGGACGGGCTGAAGAGTTCGTTTGATAGCCCGACACTCAAGAGCGGGATTGCCATGTCGATACCGCGGGATGCTTTTAAGAGCGCGACTGTGTAGGATCGGGTGTATAGTATGTAACAAAGTATCTTGTACATGTACCTTTGGATGCTCACACATGCCAGCTTGTCTGTGAGATGCTGACGTTCAAACACAAGCAATTGATGTAGTTACTGCTGCGAGCTCCGTAGCTTCCGTTGTGTATTCCCCACCACATCTCGAGAAAGGTCTTCTGGGGACGACTGCGTAGTTGTGACCGCCTGATATGGGGTGCAAGCTGGTTGCAAGATGAGCCCTACGAGACCTTCAACCGCACCATGATCTTCGGCGTACGCGCCCTCTGGGAGCCTGGGCCTCTTGCTAGGCCTCTCCTCACCCTCTTCAGCCTTGTCTTCTTCTGTCGCTCCTCTCGCCTGTTTCTCCTCTTCTTGTCACATCGCTTCTGCATCGATCTCTCTGAATCGCGTGTAGGGACTATACGGTACCATGCCAAACTGCGGAACGTGTGGCGGGGTCTCCACCTCGGCTCCCTTTGCGGTTCGTAACGCGGCCATGATCTTTTCTATGATCCTCAGCTTTCGCAGTGCACCAGTGTTGATGATTGCGTCCGAGAAGCTGTTAGCACAGGTCAGCACCCAGACGTGAACAAGCTTTCCCTGTTCGATTTAGATGGCTCGTCCCTCGGCTTGCAGTGTATCGAGCGAGTTCCACCAGGGCTGCAAAGTCAAGGTTAGCATATTCCTAGTATCAGTATTGCATGGAATCCACTTACCTCCACAAAGATAACCTGCGACGCTTCGTTGATGGTCAGCCCAGTTCCACCAGCCTTGGCTTGGAAGCCGATGGGCGTCGTCCCATGCGACACCGTCTGCCACTTGTGCAAGAGGTCATCCCTCTCCTTTGTGCTCAAGACACCAGAGTAAATCGAAATATCAACAGATTGACGTCGGCGGAAGGCTTCGGCAATGATGATGAGTGCCTTGTAGAATCAGCTCTAGATGATTATCTTCTCCTCGGGTGCTTTACCAAGATATTGTGATGAAGCTCCAGGAGCTTGTTGCATCGGGGCGTGAAAACGTCATAGTCGCTCATCTTGGCCACGCGATCGAGAAAAATCTGGTGCTTTGTCCTCTTCTTGGTCCTGCTGGTCTTCTTTTCCTGAATGAATGGTGCAATTGCAGCCTGCTCATTCTTCCGCTCCTGCTCTTCTTCTTTTTCCTCGATGAATTCGGCTGCATCGTCGTCGGCTACATCGGCCATGTTCACTTGGTCATGGGCTTCGCTGTAGGCTGAACTGGACCCTGTCATCACCAGCAGGGCCAGCTTCTCGAATCCCGTCTCCATGAGCCAGATCATCATTTGCTGAGAAAACCTTGCGCTTTGTGTGTCTGTGTCGTCAATGTCGGCCCAACCTGGGAGACATTTAGCCTCATTGCTGTCTTCTTCTCCGAGCTCCATGGCTTTGATCTTGGCGGCGACTACCGCTTCGACGAACATGTTGCGGGCGTTCTTCAGATCGATGGGTCTTTTGTGCATTGCCGCCTTTTGCTTCTCGGTATATTCCGCGAGAACAGAGAAGCCTGATTCCTGCTCCGCCCTCGTACAGAAGCCCATGGCGGACTGCAGATCCTTCTCGTCGACCGCGAGCTCTTCCTGCTATTAACAGAACTCAGCGACATCATCTATGACCCCACCAGAGGATGACAGAATACTTCGATTACCGCCTACATGCACGCCACTGCGCGTAGATGTGCATCCCGTGTTCCTGTTCAAAGAATACATTGCTACATATACTCTCCTTAGTGAGAAACAATATACCGCGTATGCAGCAATGGCTACCTCAGAAACCCCTTCACGAGGACGCTGGTCACTTTGTCGACTTCCAAAGGCCTGGTGTCTGTAGTTCCATCAACGTGCGTAAGGTTGTAGCCGTCAGCATGAAGTATGGGTTCCTTGCAAGATGCGATTTCCAGCAGTCGCGCGAAATTCCCACGTGCATGCTTCGCTCAGGGCCATGTGGGTAGACCATGTGCTTTTTGGTAGTATCGTAGAGAACTGACGGCATAAATCGCTGTGCTCTGCCGCATGCAAGCGTCAAGTCGTCGAGTATCCTGTGGGATTGGATAGCCCTCATTCGATCGTCAATCTCCGTGTCATCATGCTTCCCAGCGAGCTAGTTTGGAAGGAGGTCGTCGCTCATCGTGATAGTCCTCGAATCAATGTCGAATGTTACCGGTGGACTCATCCAGCAGTGTCGTGAAGTCGCGACCTCGGGAAGTCTCCGCGCGAAGATCAACGCTAATCTCGAAATGCCCATTAGCGGCTTGGTCGCTTACTACGTCACCTGGGCACAGCCTTGATCTCCCACGCGTCACCCCGCCTCCAGCTTAGCAATCACTGCCATTCCAGCCGGACCGACTCCGCACCACGAGCACCAATATGTCCACGTCGAAACCGTTCCCAGCGCTAAGTGGCGGCTGCGTCTGCAATACCATCCGCTATAGGCTCCTTACAGCCCCGCTCTACTGTTACGCCTGCCACTGCATGGACTGCCAAAAGCAGACCGGCAGCGCCTTCTACCTTAGCTTGAACATCGAGCTATACAACATCCAGATTCTGTCTCCGACGAAGCCTTCGTTCCTGAGCCGAGAGGTTAAACCGGGCCTTGTCGATCGGTATGCCGAGTGTCCGCAATGTCATGTCCAGCTTTGGGCTAGTAACCACCTGGGTGAGGCAGTCGTTGAGCTGAGAGTTGGCACGCTGGACTTCCCGTCGCTCATGGAGCCGGATATACACATTCACGTTGAGAGTAAGCTGGACTGGGTGACTTTGCCGGAGGGTGCGAAAACAGCGCAAAGAGGCCATGATTATAAAAAGTCGTGGCCTAAGAGTAGTCTGAGGAGGTTAGATATCTGCCTAAAGAGAGCAGAAGAGGTGAAGAGGAGAAGGACTGCTGCGGCGAATGAGAGTGCCTCTGCAACGATTGGAGATGAGGAGAACAAGGAGGGTGTCGTGGCGATCGAGGGAAGTGGAGAGGGTGACAAGACGCCAACCGCGGGAGATGTTGGTAGCGACGATGATGATGAGGCCGAGGAGCAGAGATTCAGGGAGACTGAGAAGGCGTTGCTGGAGCGGTTGGAGCGGTTGAGTCTAAAGCTGCAAAATGAGGAAGGCACAAAGAAGGTGGTGGAGACGTGTCTCGAGGACCCCAACAAGAGCTCATAAATAGCGCGGAGGGTCGCAAGAGCCTCGAAGAACGTGCGCAATCTACTCCCCTTCGCGGTCTTACAAGTCTGGTAGATATTTCTGCTGTATCATTGTAGATCTGGATGAGAGGTTGATACAGGCGCGCTTGCCTTCAGTTGTGCAGCACGTGCGCTTACGTCATGGTCGTACCTACCGTGTACGAGGCCAGTGAATCGTCGCACACCGCGTCCACTAACAATTCCCTCAGCACATCCATTCCACTCCACTGCACCTCCACCATGGCGCTTTCGATCTTTTGCGCTCTACTTTCGCTTCTCGCTACACTCACTTGCGCGTCTACCAACGACCGTCAAACAGGACACCAAGATGCACCTGGAAAGGAGACGAGGATAGCCATCATCGGCGCAGGGCTCAGCGGCTCTAGTACAGCGTACCATTTACGCAAGAATGCTCCTCCGGACCAACCACTCTCGATCACGATCTTCGAATCTAGCGAAAGCATCGGCGGACGAGTCGCTTCATTCCCAGTACCGGATACCCAAAACCGGACCATTCTCGAAACCGGCGCTGCCAGTTTCTTTACGGACGATACATGCATCACGCAAAGCGTTGAGAAGCTGGGTCTGACTCTCCTAGACAAGAAAGGTTGCTGGTCGCTTCTGGGATGTCTCTACAACCCATTTAGAAGAACAGGCATTTGGAACGGCAAGGAAATTATCGGCAAGCCATTGCTTGCTTTGAGACTGAGCGAATGGTTAGATGAGCACGGTCTGCTCTGGATTGTGAAACCAGTCGTATGGTCCAACAACATGTCCGTATGGAATACCTTGCGTCTCCTCCACTGGAACGATCTGAAGTTAGACCCTGGGCTGCAGGCCTCGTGCGACTTCACGTCTCCATCGATTTGGAGACGTATCCACATGCGTTACGAGTACGGCAGCTCGCCTGCACTCTTCCGGCGAGCGGTCCATACTACGACTGAGAGATTCCAGCATTTTGGACGTACGAACCGATTCAGCGACGTTGGTGAAGAGCTCAGAAGGGTAGGTCTGCATGGCGACATCGCAAAACTCTCCGCTGCGGACTATCTTACAGGCCTTGGTATCAGCAAGCTATTCCAGATCGAGGTCATCGAGCCATGTGTACGCGCGCGCTCCTTTCTTGATCTAACGCAGGTTAGTGCTATCGATGCGATGATGGCTTGCAGAGAGTCAAAGGAAACATCTTTAGTTGGTGGCAACATACGGCTTGTAGGCGCAATGATAAACGCCTCACTAGGGGACTTGCAACTGCGAAGCGAGGTAGTTGGAATTGAACATGGCCAAGATCGACGATACAAACTCTCAATCGCGGATGCACCAGATGTCACATTACATGAAAACCACGAGTTCGATGTAGTCGTGCTGGCGGGTCTGGTTCATGAGAGTCCACTACCTGACAGCCTCCAAAATCTAGGCTCGCTGCCGAAGAACCTCTTATCACCACCAAGTTATACCTCAGCGCACGTTACCTACTTTGCTACGGAGCATGCCTTCAGACCGGAATATCTCAACTTATCCGCTGACTTCGACATCCCAGACCGCCTTCTAACGACATCCGCAGAGTCCAGCCTGATCTCGCTATCTATGTGGGACGATATGGGCTTTTATTGGGAAGACCGACTTCGGCGCAAGGAGCCTTGGGTTGAACGACCTGATCATTACGACAGCGATGAATGCGGGAACCGTAAGTTTGAATACGAAAACCTATACCGTGTAGTGTCTCTAGAGTATATCTCAGAAGGCGAGCTTGCTGCAATGATTGGAAAGGATTGGGAGGAGGGACAGAATGCGACGGACATCGGGTTCAGCTGGGTTCATCGACAAGAATGGAGCAAAGCGTTTCCGAAATTTGGTGACGGCAGGGGTGTGACAGGAGACATTCAGGTAGCGGAGGGTGTCTTCTGGCTTGGTGGTGGGGGTGAAGTTACGTCATCACTTGAGATGAGTTGTAAGATGGGAAGGAATGTTGCGTCCCTGATACAGGACCGGGCAACGACAACAAGTGCTGGTCATGGCGAACTGTAGTGAATAGGTAGCTATCACGGCTACATGGAGCTGGAGGTCCTTCAATTGTAAGTCTATAGGATGTTGTGCCTGCTACATTAACACTCTCCTTACCTCTTCACCCTTATGACTTACGCTGTAGTCCGCAGTACTGGATTAGGCAGGCTGGGTTCGGCATAGATAATTATATCACTGCATTGCCCCGCTTTTAGGGTAGCGCAGTGAGATCGCGAAGTGAAGGGTTGGGTCAAGGCAAAAGAGAAAGAGCGCACGGCCCGGATCTTTGATATACACTCAACGTACCCCATCTGCATATTAATCGACTCAACAGCACCGGTCACAACCAACCCCTAGACAAGCTCGCGACGATGCATTCCTCCAAGGTACTGCTGGCCCTCTTCTTCAGCCTCCTGACGTCTCTCTTCCAAGTTTGCAGTGCACAGAACGTTGGTATCGAGACTACCCCCATATTCAAGAACTCGCAATGTAGTGCAGAACAAGAGCGTATCATCCGTCAAGCGTGGTTGGATGGCGTAATGCTCGCTAATGCGGCCTTTGACGATAGCGACGAACTCCTTCCGAATACCGGCGGCGGGCACAAGATCATCAACTTCGATACTCGAGCGGCAATTGAATATTGGGGTCCACCGAGCGAAAACCTTGGATACCGACAGCGAATCTATGATACATTTTACCGCGCCACTCAAGCGTCATGGGGGCGGGGTTGGGCCGACTGGTGGTTTGAACGCTATATCGAAATGCACTGCGACGATCCGGAGCCGAAACAGTGTGACGATTCGACTTCTGCTTACTACATGCCCACGAAAAAAGGTTCGTGGACATACGACGGTATCAACTTTTGCCCGGCATTCTTCTCCACTCTCAAGGACCACGCGGAATTGGAGAAGAGAATCATCGCCGACCCGACTGGCCAATTAAGGCTAAACACCAGGAATATGCGAAGCAGAGGTGAACTACATGCTCAACTTGCGACCAATTCTCGTTTGCTGATGACTGAATATAGCCTGCACCGCTCTCCACGAGTTACTACATGTCAACGACTCCAAGACGGAAATCTGTCAGGGGGGATGTGAGTGTTACAGCATATCGTTATAACTTCCCACGTACGACTGACACGATTAGGTCACGACACCAAGCAAATGATAGGCGGCAAGGCAATCTTCACGTACAAGTCTGGCCGCGCAAAACTACTGGCGGCGAGGGACGTTCAAGCTGCGGCCGAAACCAACGACAACTATGTCTATTTTGCCATCGCGCGGTACATGCAAAAGAAGTTTGGGGTCTACCCCGCGTATCCACGCATATGGAGTCCTGCGAAAACGAAGGGAGAGAATCAGGCGATTGAGAACGGCGAACCGGGCGCCCCAAGCCGTTACAATATGGCGTTTGAGTTGGAAGATGTCGACCTCGATGGCGGCGCCGGCGAAGCAATTTCGGATAAGCAGTACAAGACGTCGATTTACCCGGAGTGGTACCAACAAGACTCACCCGTTGAGCCTGACTTTGGTAAACTCGCCTTCTCCCACCCTAATATAGACGACGTTGTTTGCCAGACTACGAGCGAGTCTGCGCAGTACGACGATTGTGTAGCCGCCTTTGCGACGCTGGAGGGTCTCGATCGGAATAAGGTGCAGCTGGTTCACAAGAGGCCCGGCGAAAGGTGGTGGGCGAATGTGGTAACGACGTGTGCGGTCCAAGTCCACTACAAGGGCGACTGGTCAAAGTGCGAGGCTTCGCTGTCGGACATATGGGCTCACGCTAAGGATGTATTCGAGGGGTGCCATGGTGAGTATGGGACGGTGGGCGGCTATGTTCCTTTCGGCGTGCCGAACTGCCCTGCGACGATTGATCTCGTGTCTAGTCGTCAGTGGCGCAATCCGGATCCGTTCTAGATAGATTCACAGCGAACCGGATACTGGTGGGACGGTTGTGGCGTCGGGATAATCGATAGTTGTACACATAGTCGCAAATGTAGAAACAGACCTCGGGAATGTCGCATGAGATGATGTTGATGGTACGCGTGTGGTTCCTGGAAGATGAGGAAGGCGGCTGCCCGACGTCATAGGGGCTCGCGCTTTTCCCTGGTGGACGCTAGCGCCGCCACGCCAACGGCAGGGCCGAACTCTGCACAGCAACACTCGCGTCACCCTTCTGACTTGCGACTCCACGCCGTGCCCGCTCTCGATCCCCTACCAGCATGAGTGTGGTAGGCCGCTCATTGCTGCGCTCGATGACACGCGCCTGGACCGAACGACGCGCTCCTACCAGTACAACCATGACCCATAAGTCCGATGAGGACGCGCTCGCGTCATGAGCAAGTTGTGCGAACCTGTCGCGTCCAAGCAGAAATCCTGCAATCATTGACTCAGGATCGGGCGTGGTATAAGCCCTGGCCGTGTATCTGCGCGACGTGCTGAAGTTGCAGCTGGATCGGCCACTACACTTCACACGGCGAGATTATCTGCTTTCTGATAACCTGCACAACCCTAGGACGGCGAGAACCTTTGACGATAGCGACCAGACTCCTCGATTTGGTTATCACGTCGCGATAGACAGTTCTCCCTGGCAATTGCGAGGACACGAGGCCGACTCAAATCTTGTTGTGAATCACAAGTGTTACTGATGATTTTAGCTCCCAGTCATTCACATTGCGGTCTTGAACCGGAGAAGCTGGAGAAGAGGGGTGTGAAGCTGGAGTGGTTTTCATTGGTATGAGTCCAACGCCAGGACCGTTGCCGTAGCTGGCGAGGCGGTAAACAAGTCACTAATATATTCACACCCTCCATGCTACCAATTGGCTAATAAGATAAGACAAGCGATTATTACGGTAACATCAAACTGCTATGGCCTAATTGTATGAGTTGATGCTAATGACCATAGCATGCTCAGGCGTCATACAGCATACTTGCGCTTCTACGCCAACCCTTTCAATGCACCGTCTATTTGGAACAGCCCTGGAACTCACTTACCAAGACCGAAGGCGCTCCTTCACCCATACTTAGTACATATACATATACCGTTGCTTGCAACGGCAACTTAATGAATTCAGAGCTACAAGACCAAAGCCAGGAGATCATTTTGGAGGCCTCATTCCATTGCCAAAGATAGCCAGGTAAAGGTGAAGGCAGAAGTGACCTCGCATTTGCTGTGGCAGCTGCTAGCGGGGACGCTAGGGTGTATATAAGCACTCACTCTAACACTGGATTGCTCTCCATCCTCCTACAACACTCACGTCGCAGAGACCTCAGCACAATATGGAGCCCGTATCCCACTCTCCATACCGCTATGCATTCAATTCCGCTCTCATCGGTATCGAAGCACCAATCCTCGCAGATCACACATTGCTCTGCGTAGAGAACTGGAGCAACGCAGGAAGCACCAGCCGGCGGGTAGATGACGTGGTCGAGACCACCCAAGAAGAAGAGGATATCGGCAACAACCTCTCATTCAACGATCTATGTCTCTGGGTTGGAGTTCGACCAGCCAGGGCCGATGTGCTGCGCCAACAAGCTTCCAAGCCTGTTGGTGACGACACCGAGACGCAGACGGCTCTCGACAACCTCAAAGCCATCAAGATCAAGAAAGGCTCATCAGTTGGCTCAGTTCTCAAGCTTGACAACATTCCAGTCTGGCCGCTGAAGGATGGCATGACACGAGTAGTGGTCCGGTATAACCTCAAGCGCGCCGACCGTCTGCAGTATTACGAACTGATCAACCGCCATCCAGTGACCAAGGTAAGTTCACCCCCCTCAATACAGACTGTAATAGACGGTGCAATCGATCCAATCGCTCACTCCCACCAGCTATCTTACCCAGTTCCCATCAAAGCCCAGGACGTTTTCTTCTTTCGCCTTTATCGAGACGATGACATATCCGCATCGACCGGTCGTCAGAAGGGCTGGACTCAGAACATCAAGACATATCTCACCGATTATTTCGACGAGCGTCTCAATGAAGGGGGCATGCGGCCAAACAGAAAAAGGCAGGAGCTCACTGGAAAGGAGTCCCCGCCCAGGAAGAAGATGCGCTTTGGCGCTTTTGACTCTCATTGAACTTCCAGCCTGCAAGAAGAATGTCAGACGCACGCAGTGAGGGCTTGCAAACAGCTAGTCAGTTCATGAAGCGGTGGGGAAGAAGGTGATGAGGAGTTTTGATTTGCGATGGCTACATGAGTGTAGGTGGAAGTTTGAAAGCTCAATGCAGGCTGTATTCAGCTATGTCCAGAAGGCGAAAAGTTAAGGCTGGCTGAGGCATTCATCTAGTTACATGATGATGATGATGATGGATAAAATTTCTTTCAATGCTCTACCACGCTCTCATATTTGCACCGTCTAAAGTGTCTATGCTCTGCCGATATGTCTTCCTCGCACAGCAAATCTTTATTGGTGCCGTGGAATCACTTACAAAAGACGACAAGCAGCATCTTTACTCTCGAAACCACTTACATCGTTGTAAGGTCGCTAACAGCTAGTTAACATATATTCGAAGATGAACGATGGAAACGGCTCTTGTTAGAAGACGTCCTTGTTCTGGGAATTCTTCGGATGGTTGAACATCCAATTTACACTAGAGAACCTTGTGCACCGGCACGATACGCTACTCTCAAGCTCTCTGCTTGATTGTAATCGACGAAGATCCATGCCTTACGCTGCTTACAGTAACGACAACGTCTCCAGACCTACTCCCGGAACGTATCACTGCTAAGGCTCGCCCTCGCCATGTTCTATGAGCATTGCCGTTGAAGGAATCCAGATTCTTATAGTACGCAGACCCAAGCGCTGCCAGAGTGGCGTCTCCATGTACCTCGACGGTAAGGGTATCGTCGTCGTTCATCTCGATGTTTCCCTCCTGATCGGCGAGTTGAAGTTCCAGGTACGCTAGGTCTTGTCTGTCTGCGACAAGTTCACCGGACTTCTCGTTGACAATCCTAACTGAAGCAACGTCAGCGGAGCGGAGCGTGGAGCGCGAACGCTCCTGTCCGCCAGAGTATGCAACAGCAAGAAGTTCGCCAGGCTCGTAAGCTGTCGAAAATCTAGCGGTGTATCTGTTGGCTTGGTTGCTACTTGCGCGCCCAAGCGAGCGGCCATTCAGGAAAAGTTCTGTTTCCTCTTCCTGAGTGATGACCTCAATGTAAGCCTTCTGGCCCTCACAACCCTTCCAGCCCCAGCCCTCGATCGCATCGGAATCTCGCCAGGGCGTCGCCTTGTAATACAAGTTAGAGACGTCCAATGGACGTACCGCAATTACGGGTTGAGACAGGAGTTTCCAGCACGCTTGGGCTACGAAAGCCGAAGCATTGGGCACGCCAGTGATGTCTAAAGCGCCGCAACCCCCTACTAGATGTGGCCAAGGCTTGTACAATTTTATAGGGGTAAACCTGCTTGCCTCATAGTCGTGCACACCAATGCCTACCTCGCCAAGGTAGTCCCATCCAGTCCACATGAAGTCTCCTATTAGGTTCGGAATCTTTTCAACGTTGGACCAGTTCCTAGGAAGATCAGGTGGACAGGTTTCGGTACCGAGCATCATCCTTGAAGGGTGTAATTTGGCATCTGATTGGTACCGGATATCTCCATAATTGTAGCCCGCAACATCCATGTACGAATAGAGTCTGCTGGTCACAACATTGGTGTGATTGAACTTTGGGATGTACCGCATGAATGAGAGGAACATGCTGGCGATGATGTTGAAGAAATTGCTGGAAACCAAATCCCCCAGACCGCCTTTGTTATCTGCAGGAGGAGTATTTGGATCCCCCGGCGGGATTTTTGAAAACATCATCAGGGCCAGCGTAAGATTGAGCGCGATAGTGTTAGGTCGGGATGGATCCAGCTTGTGCGTGAGGTCCAGGAGCTTCTTCGCGATCGTGTGTCCGTAGGCGGATTTTGGCTCAGTGATCTCGTTACCCAATGAGTACATAACAACTGAAGGGTGGTTACGAGCTCGTTCCACAAGAGAAGCAACTTCGTACTCCCAGCGTTCGTTGAAGGTGTTGGAATCGTCATATTTAGACTTTGCCTGGTACCAGTAGTCGGCAAACTCATCCATGACGTACATGCCTACCTCATCACATGCTTGTAGAAGGACTTCTGAGCATGGATGGTGCGACATACGAATAGCGTTGAAGCCATTCTTCTTCATGATCGACACGCGCCGCAGTTCCGCAGCTTTGAACGATGCTGCGCCGAGGATACCGTTGTCTGCGTGTATGCAACCACCACGCAACTTCACAGTCTGGCCATTGACCAGGAATCCATGACCAGGCTTCAACTGCAGAGTGCGCAGACCGTACTTGAACTTATAGAGATCGCCGTTGATGACGACAGTGCAGTCGTAGAGATTCGGAGTCTCAGCGGACCATAGATCTGGGTTCGATAACTCGAAGTTTTGTCTCAGCTCAGACGTTGTCGTTTTTGTTGTCCACTGGATCGCGTTCCTTCCTCCTCTCGAAAGCTCGAAAGATACTTCAACGTCATCCTTCTTTTCGTTGTTGAGTAAGACCTCGAATGTGAGAAGAGCAACTCCACTGGCGGAGAGCGTTGCCAGCCTGATCCCGTCCTTGCAAAGCAGATTGTGGTTTCGAACCATGAGATGAACGCTGCGATGAATTCCGGCTCCAGTGTACCAGCGCGCGTTAGGTTGTTCACTGTTGTCGGCATGTACTTCGATGGTGTTCCTCTCGCCGAGCTTCAGGTAAGAGTCTACGCGAACCTCAAACTTGGTCCAGCCCGCCAGACAACCGCCGACTTCTGTGCCGTTCACCAGCACGCGACTGTGCCGGTAAACACCATCAAAACTCAAAGCGACCACTTTGGACTCCAGAGTAGTAGGCGCTTGCCATGTTTTGCGATACTTGTACGTTCCGCCAAGATAAAATCCGCCATGAGTTCCAGCGAGGGCGTCCTCCCGCCGCCCTTCTACCTGCATAGCATCGTGAGGAAGGTGTACTTTGCTCCAGCCAGTTTGTCCAGAGCGTTGGAACTCCCAATCTTCGTTGAAAAGTGTCGCTACTTCGGCCATTTTTTTGCATCTACTGTGCACTGGAAGTTGAACCAAGGGCATGAAATTTGAAGGTAGGGGCTTAACTTTCTAACACGGGGTCAGCAAAGTTCTTGTAGCGTCAAGCGTACCAAAAACGTACACGGCCCTCCTCGGTACAATAATCTGCATCTTGGAAGATGCTTGCGCACAGGTACGTATATCCACCAATGATTTGGTGTTACATAGAAGTTTCCAGCCTTGTAGCCCTGATATTGTTGTGCAGAGAATCCATTAGCGCTTACGTCGAAAGTCGGATGCACAGAGGCCGGGTCCGGACGCCTTCTGTAGCTTCGGATGCACAAGGTCCCGAGTCCGGACGCCTTCGCGACTCACAAGCTACCCAGCGCGTGCGCCTATCATGCACTTAGTTAATAACTCGAAGCAAGCGCCTATCGTGTCGCGGCTTTTATGCCGACTCTTAGCAGCTAGCAAAAAATTGTCATATCGCGTAGGCCCAGGCGAAGGAAGGAACCAGATTGCAGCCATTGTGGTGACGCAGAAGCGCCTGCGTATTACAGCACTAATGACGGCTCAACGTCGATACTCGTGAGGCTGCAGATGTCGTTGTGGTGGAGAAGCCGTGGTGTTGAACACCGCGATGACGCGCCGCAATTGCTTGGCGTCGGACCGCCGATTGGCCACCATCTCTCAGGTACACACCACACCATCCGACCGCCATTAACACTTCAACGCCATCATCTCGGCAGCCAGCGACTGTACGACAAGTGCGGCCATCTATATTGCAAGCTCATCGTCGTGAGTACGTAGTGATGCTATCATCACCGACGTACGCAGCGCGCGTCATCACAGCATCTGGCAGCGCGCGTCGTAGTGCCTCACGTAACGCGACCGCGTCATAGAATCTCTTGCTAATCTCAAGTCAACTAACGTCAGCTCGCACCCTCTCGGTGAAACACTAGGCACTGATTGGGAAGGACATGGGGACGTCTTCATTCACGAAGAGTCGCCTGCTCTACGGCTTACCGAACGGCGCCTTTCCATTGTCGTCTCATTCCGATTCTACATGCCAACGGTACCTTCCCAAACCATCGTGTCCGGCCTACAACGCGAAGCGGAAGTCGGGATGATCATCGCCCAGCGCCTTCGTACTCTGGTCAAGGACCTCCGGCATCTGCAACCTCGCCTCGTCGCGCTTCTTGTTCTCCCTCTTACAACCAAAGAACGTCACCGTCGCAGCTACAACACCGATACAAGCCAGACCGAGACCGGTACTGAACCCTGTGCGAAACACGGGCGCCTCTTTGAACTGCACATTTAGGGGTACGAAGTCAGTATATGTCTCACATGCACTTCGTACAGTCAGAACTTACCAGGAAGACATTCGAGCTAATGAAAGCACCTGCAGTACCGAAGTTGATGATCGCAGCAATAGCCACGGCACGCTTGTACCCAGAACCGCAGTTCATCGAGACCCAGATGATCGAGATCGGCATCGCGAGATAGCATCCAGAGGCAATAAAAAACATGCCCATATACCGCACGGCCGGGTTGGACGGGTGCACAATTTCCACGATGAGACCTGTCGCGAGAACTGCCCAGCCCAGGACGTAAAACAGATACCGGCGCTGTAGCCACTCGCTCATGTACGCGAAGATAACGGAGAAGGCGGCGCCGACAAGATACACAGGGATTGTGTGGACCTGCGCTTGCGTGGCGGTGTAGCCGAGGCCCTTGAGGATGGTAGGTTGGAAGTTGGCGAGAGAGTTTGCATTCTCAGTAACGCCGATGTTCATCAGAACGCTGGTCATGATCAGTTCAGTTATGCGCAAGAAGATGCATGCTACTCACCCAGTCCAGATCTTCCAGTCCTTGAGAAAGTGTAGCGCCTTCTTGAACGATATCTCATCGTCGGCTACATGGCCGCCATCAGCCTGGATGCGTGCGAGCATCAGCGCCTTCTCGTCGGGAGACAGAAACTTGCAGTGCTCGGGAAACGGAGGGACGACGGGCCAGCATGCTATGCTGACGAAGATAGTCACACAGCCCTCGATGATGAAGATCCTACTTCACGTCAGCAGCTATCCGTCGTAAGACTCCAGAGTTGACTAACCATCTCCACGCTCCATAGCCCGAGGTGCCGTCCATGCGTGCGATTAGCGAGGAAACGAACCCGTTGATCGCACCCGCAACGATACCCGCAGTGCAAAAGAACACGTAACGGGTCAAGTATTCGCGCTTCGAGTAGTATGCACCGATCAAGTATGCCGCTCCCGAGATGTAAGCCGACTCGGCGATGCCCTCCAGAAGACGGCAGACAATAAGCTCCTCCCATCGCTTCACGAGTCCGCATCCGATGACGGTGATGCCCCAGCAGAACATCATCACGCAAAGACTCTTAGGCCCATACTTCTTGAAAGCGATTTGCAACGGGATGCCAGCGACGAGGTAACCCAGATTAAAAACCCATACCGCGATGTTGAATCTCTGGCCGATGAGGTTCAGCTCTGTCTCCATGCCCTGGATCTTTGCATTCCCTATGTTGGCTCTTGAGAGCGAGTCAGCATAGCACGTCAACCTGGGAAGAAACTGAACAGGTTTACAGGCTACATCAACATGAAAACATGCGAAGTAGGTGCCCCAACGTCGATGTAGGCTCCAGCCCATCACAGGTCTTCCATTCATACATACCGGTCGATAAAGTTTACCAGGTAAAGTATCCACAGTACTGGCAAGATTCTGAAGTCGAGCTTGCGAATAAGTCGCCTCTCCGCAGCGCGATCAAAGCCATTCTCTGATGTCGAACTCGTTGGAGATACCGGTGAGTCGTGGACGCGAACTCCCTTCTCGACAATGCTGGCGTCTGTCATATTGACGGAGTGTGATGAAGAATGAAGGAGGGGTGAGATAATTGTTGCGAAGCCGACTAAGGTCGACTATCAGTAAGAGCTCGTTATGCGATGTGGGCAGGGTCAAGGGTTACTGCAGACCAGACGAAAGGCTACTCGAGTTACGCCCGGGCAATATATATTTCCTCACCGCGTCGCACTTTCGCCCTGTTCGAGCTCTGACTGCCGGAGAACTTCCAAGACGAGCACAAAGCCTCTATTACGAGCCGTGAAGCCTTCGGTCATGACCTGATGTGCAGCGTCTTGTTGAGAAGGATCAGCGGAAGTTTTGCGCTTCTTCACGACGTCTACTTCGCGATGCTTGTGATTGGCTGTGGTAGGCGGGAGGATGCGCGGGCATTACATGGAATAAGTGTCCGACATGGGGCGGGTAGGCCATCGCGCGGAATTGAGCCCTCTCCGCATCCTTCGCGACTTGACTATACAAACAATGGATCAACAACCTATCGTTATATGAAGCCGTCGGTGGTAATGCTTCTTTCGAAGCTAGTCCTGCGGTATACCGTTACATTACGAGTTAGCCGGCTCGGGATGGGAGTTCAGATCCACAACGGCGCCTTCGGCGGGGAGGAGGCAACCCCACCGCAGCGGCCCGCGCCAAATGTCCAACGGCGCTCCAGACTCTCTGGGCGCAGTCCTAACCTTTCGTTTCCCCAAGCGAATATATCGTCGTGAAAGATCTTGTCATTATCAGTAAATTCGCAAAGTCTGGATTTGGCATTGAACGGTAGTAAGCGGCAGTTCACTGAATGCCGGTAAGCACGTTGCAACACAATGGCCGATCCGCATGTCTTCTCACCTTCATTGCCGTACAGGTGGTTAGCGCATGTGTCTTTAACCAGGCGACACACCGGTTCGAAAGCGATGCAAGCTTTGCCGTGCCGCGTCTTCATGGCACTGAAGTATCATAAGCTTGCCCCACCTCTGATGTGGGTCATCTTACCACCAAGCAGCTGCAGTTGTACCCCGAAGTATCGTTTTGGAAGTGGAAGCTAGCTCGCATCAGGTGTGAAGTATGTTGTCAGCGACTTTTACCACGTCCTCCATATCACAGCCAATTTCTGGTGTCCTTCGCTACCAGATCTGGAATATCCCCAGCCTATCACCGTCATGACTGAACGAAACCCCATGAGCATCGCGATCGTCGGCGGCGGCATCGCTGGCCTTACATTGACTATCGCACTTCTCACCAAATGTCCACAGATTAAGATCACGCTTTACGAGTCCGCCGAAGCCTTTGGCGAGATAGGCGCAGGTGTCGGCTTCTCCCCAGTTATGGTCCGCACAATGGCCCTCATCGATCCACGCATCGCGGAAGCATTCGTTAAATGTAGCAAAGGCAACACGGTTACCGACCCACCGAACTGGTTCCACGTGCGCGTGGGAGACCAAAGAAAGAAGAATGTCAAACTGGGGGAAGAGATCTTTGTGATACCAGGAAGGAAGGGACCGGGAGGGGGCGTGCACAGGGCTCACTATCTTGACGAGCTGGTCAAGCTGGTACCGGATGGAGTCGCGCAGTTCAAGAAGAGGGTACTTGAGATTACTGAAGCAGAAGACGGTTCTGGCGATGCGGTTTTGCACTTTGCCGACGGGTCCACCGCGCAGCACAGTGCGGTGCTTGGGTGCGACGGGATCAAAAGTCGCGTGCGATCTATCGTCCTGGGCGACTCAGACGCAGCAAAGGCGGTCTTCTCAGGAAAGTATGCGTATCGGGGACTACTGCCCATGTCGGAGGCGGTTGAGATCCTGGGCAATGAGACACCAAGAACGCCGCAGATGTATATGGGCTATCACGGGCATGTGCTGACATTTCCTATTGCGAACGGCACGCTGTTCAACGGTACGACAACTCCGCTCGCCCGTCAACCCGCGTAGCTAACGTACCTGCAGTCGTCGCTTTCTCCTCGCGACCCACGTGGGAAGATCAGAACTGGGTAGTTCAAACATCCCGCGAGGACATGCTAGAAGACTACAAGCATTGGATCCCTGCTGTGCGCAAGATCATGCAGAACATCCGAAAGCCTGATATCTGGGCGCTCTTCAACCACCCACCTGCATCAATCTACTACAGCGCTAAGCCGCTGATCTGCCTAGTGGGCGATGCCGCTCATGCATCGACACCGCATCAAGGCGCAGGTGCGGGAATGTGTATCGAAGATGTGTACATTCTGAGCGAGTTGCTATCGCAGTGTCATGCGAAGACCGGCCTCGGGAAGGTCTTCCACGCATATGACTCGGTAAGAAGGCCGCGTAGCCAAAAGCTGGTCAAGACCAGCAAGGAAGCCGGTATGCTATGGGAGTTCGAAGGAGAAGGCGTCGGCGACGATTTGGAAGCGCTGCGGATCAATGCGCAGACAAGGATGGCGTGGATTTGGGACCACGAGATATCGAATGACTTGAACAACGCAAGGCGTATGATGCAAGAGGGCGCGTCGAAGACTCCGTAGGCAGGGATGCGGCGGTCAACAAGTCACGACAATGCTCGACACCTACATACCACAAACGACAAGACTGAATGACCCAGAAGTCTACAACGCGTTGAGATCGAACCAACCTTTCATTTTGATACTAATGTAGAGCGCGCACCTTCGATTTCTCCTTTGGCGTGGGATGCGGATGTATCGAAATACCCAAAGATATGCATCTTCGCAGCCACATCGTCCAGACTCCAGCGCGTTTCGCTTCAAGTCCCGATTTCCAAATGGTCTGGTCCAACGGTAGCCGGTTATCGCTTTGCGACCAGAAACGGATGTCGTTCCAGGAAGCCGCTGGGATCGACTGTGCCGCACAGCCTCGCTACCACACTACTTTATAACTTACCCCACGCTCGACAGAAGACGATGCATGAAATCACAGGCGCGCGGCCTCGCTCCTACGCGACAAAGAACCTGGTATGCTACGCTGCGCCTAGCGTTCGCCCAGTGAGGGACGGAGAGGTTGCAGCCTGGCCAGCTACTCCGTCTCAGAAGCGTCGAACACAACCATGGTCTTCCAGATTCAGCAGGCGCAAGCGGAGGTATGTCAGTGTCCGGAGAGGCGCTGTGAGCGTCAAAGAAGACGGCGCTGGTGAATATATATAGACTTGGGCGACACCATCCAGCGTTAGAACTCCACATCATCACGACTTTACCTTCCATACCATTGCGCATTTGCCCCATACATACTCTTTCAAGCATGCCTGTTTCCACATCCAATCCTAGAGCCGTCGTTGGCGACGCGACTGGCCGTCGCTGGGACCCGGAAGCGGTGCTCAAGCTCTCCCTCGACGGCCGCTGCGTTGGATGGGCGCCCTCACGTGGCCGCAAATGCCGCATGCCTATACGTCAAGATAACGCATACAGGGTCGAATTATTGCTGGCTGATTTGGCGAACCAAAGTCCAGACCCTGAGCGACTCCGGCCAAAACTTCAGCGCCTTGCTGAGCATGGCTTGTGTGTTCGTTTCCACCAATACCAAGTCGACGAGATGCTAGACCGTTGGATAAAGCGGATGTGGGAGGCGTTCCCTAGGCATGACCGAGTAGACGAACGGGTCGGGACGGCGTCGGAGCGGGTGAGGCAGCGGCCTGGGTCTGCGATAGGTAAGTCTTCTACTGCCCACCATACAGCGCAGCCATCTAACAATGTCTCAGTCGTCGCAACATCGGAGGCAGAGCTTGCTGCACGTGCAGAGGTCGCTGCGCTACAAGAATCGCTTCGTGATGTCAATCGCCGCCTCGAGGAGCTTACGGCTCGTCAAGCTGCCAACGAAAGCATGGCGCAGTTGGAGTCTCGTGTTTCTCGTCTAACGAGATCGATCGATCCGCCTTTGTCGTCTTCACAGCCGCCGGATATCCTCTCGAATCTGCGCATCCGAAGGAGCTTCGCACCGATTCGCCCTGTTCTCACCGCAGGGTCGGATCGAGTAAGAAGCCCAACGACTGCAGGCACGCGACCGCCGTCTAGCGACTCGTCCAGCGATTCGTCCAGCGATTCGTCCAGCGAGGCATCGAGCCCGACGGTGCCGCACCCACCCTATATGATGCGGAGGCTAGCACGACATGCGCGAAGACCAACAGCGGTCGGCAGAGAACATCCGTCCAGCGCATCGTCCAGCGCATCGTCCAGCGCATCGTCCAGCGCATCGTCCAGCGAGTCGTCCGGCGAGGTACCGGGCCAAACGTTCAGCGAAACATCCAGCGAGGCCTCTAGCGTGACTGTGCCGCAGGTATCACCAGGCTTCACGACCTCAACACCCCGTTGTGCGCGTTCGCATGCCCGCCGTCTGCCCTTCGACGACGAATGCCCCATATGTCAAGAAGGCGACCTTCTCTCCCAATACGATCGGTCGGAGGTTGTGTGGTGTGAGTCCACATGTGGAAGGACTCTCCATAAGAGATGCTTCGAGGATTGGCGTAAGCAATGCTACATCGATCACCGGGACTTCACGTGTCCTGTGTGTCGCGGTGACTGGGAAGAGCGCTCATGCGAAGCGTGTGACCTGATGCAGGTGCGCAGGCAAAAGATCGAAGGGGATTGCGCTATCTGTTGTGATGCCCTGAAAGGGGACGCGCCGGGGGGCAGGGAAGACCTTGTGTGGTGTAAGAACTCGTGCGGACAGAACGTCCATCGAGAGTGCTTCGATAGCTGGAAGGAGCATTGCGATGCTGTTAGAGGAAAAATCGCGACTTGCGTGCATTGCAGGACGTCGTGGCGGCGTGAGGAGTGTGATGGCTGAGGATCAAGGATGTGCGAGCGCGGAGGTTCGGTCTCGCCTTCGGAATTGGGTTCCGATCGGAGCCAGCACCTCGCATCTCCATCTGATGGGCCTACCTCGCGCCTGCCCCAACTGTGTATAATAGAGCTCGAATCAAAGCGAACATCCCACCTGGGCAGTCGCCAATGTCGAGAAATCAGCGCTCCTGCAGCTCTATGACTAACATCCACGTATCGCGCTGGCACTGTCATCGCATGCGGGCCAAGTCCCACGAGAGCCAATCTCATCAGGCACCAGCCTGCTTCGTGCTTTGCCCATCCCAACATCTTCGCTCGCGTCAACCGGGAAAAGAGGGTCAACACCCTGGAGCCTACAATAAGTTCACGTCAGCTACGTTGCATACTCTTATCGTCATGTAGTCTGCACACCCGATTAGTCTTTTTTGGATGAGTTGCTACGCCTGTACCGATCTCGCAAACATCTGGAATCCCCCGCTCTCCACACCTTGCTGAGCTTTCCGCGCACGAAAGGAGAAGCTGATCACCACATTGCGCTGATGCCCATGCGGACTCTCGACGCGAGGTGATCCCATCAGGCGACCACGTACTGTACCTGCCACGACTACCTTTTCGCAAAGATGGGGTTCTGCCATACATGCCAGGCTTTACCCATTCGCAGCTTCCTGAAGCTTCACCAATGCGACAGTTCCGTGTACGACGAGTTCCAGTGGTTTCGGTTGCCCAGATCGGTCACCACTGAGGAAACGAAGGAGCCGTTCTACAGGTGGCACAACAGCGTATCAGACCTACAGAATAGTGGCAGTACATGCGCATTCTGCGAGGCCATTTTCAGTCATCTCAGTGGTAGCTACCACTATCAAATGAACTGCAAGGACCGTGATGGAACAGCTCTGTGGATACTGGCGCCGATTGGCTCCCCTATGCTGAAGGTGTTCATGGGCCTGGCGGAACCTCAGATACAGCTCAGTGGCAACTTCAGTTATACGACTACTCCAGGTATTTGACTTCCACCTGTTAACAAAGGCTCAGCTTAACGCGCGCTCTTCAGACAGCTCCGTCGCAGGTTGCTTCAAGAGCCACGTGCCTATACAGGACCAATTGCGACCTTTTGTACTTCGGCAGATGGCAGCATGGGTCACGAATTGCGATGAAAACCATGCGGACTGCTCAACATCGGTGCCCGCGCGCAACGCATCTCAGCTACCTACGCGCCTTTTGGACCTTGGTTCAATGCCTAAAGCGGCTGACTTCGAAGGTGCCCCCGGTGATCCACGTACTTTATTGGAGAACACATCACTTAGGCTTATCGAGAAAGGCCCAGACAGTCAAGGCCAGTATATCGCATTGAGTTACTGCTGGGGAAAAGCTTTGGCATTCACCACGACTTCCAAGACTCTCAACAAGTACAAAGAGAACGGGGGAATCAAATACAGTCAGCTCCCCGAAACCATTCGAGACGCCGTCTTTCTCACCAGATATTTGGGAATCCGCTACCTCTGGGCTGACTGTCTCTGTATCATACAAGATAACGGAGCGGACTGGGAGAGAGAGGCTTCTCGAATGGCTGATGTGTACAGCAACGCGTATCTGACCATCGCTGCGACACGTGCCAGCCATTGTGGCGAGGGCTTCTTGCACGCACGTAAACTTAGAGGAGAGACTATCATCTGTTTTGAAGACGACAAGGGCTCATTCGACCTCTTTTTCCGTTACGACGATTTGATGTGGTCTCCTGGCTCCATGGAATCTATCACTGACGAGTCAATCACGATGCGACGGGTACAGCTCACCTTTCTCATGATTCGCACAGCGTTTCGGCAAGCTAATGTGAACAAGGAAGAGCCACTCTTGAGCCGCGGCTGGGTACTCCAAGAACGTATTCTTGCAACACGCACTTTGCAGTTCACAAGCTACAACATGCGGTTAGAGTGTTCCAAGCAAGTCTTCACTGAGCCCCAATTCGTCGACGAATACGGCACCTCGAAAGAGACGTCTTTGGAAAGGATAGCAAAGGGGCTTGAAAGTATCAAAAACGCGGCACCAATCACAGGCACTCAGGAGATACAGGTCCCGGTAGTCAACGGGAGGTCCTACGGATGGCGCGTATGGGCCCGCATGATTGAAGATTACACATCGCGCAATCTGAGTTTTGCGTCCGACAAATTCCCCGCTCTAGGTGGCGTTATTTCAGCCCTACAGGAGCTGACTGGCGATACCTGCTTCGCGGGCATTTGGAAGAGCTGGTTTCTACAAGGTCTACTTTGGCGTTTGCAGGATCCCAACTGGGATGAGTATGTCTTTTTTCCGAAGGAACCGCAGAGGGCCGTCCCCTGGAGAGCTCCGACGTGGTCATTCGCATCTGTCGAAGGGGTCGTGTTATATCTACTCCTCGAGGAGAATTTTGACCAAGGACTGTGCGCCGAACTGCTCAGCTGCGAAGTCACGCCTAAGGGTAAGAACCCCCTTGGAGAACTCACAGACGGATTCGCCAAGATCAGAGGTCCGATAGCTGCTGTCTCTGCTGTATTACCGGATCTATCGCTTAACGGCAGAGAATGTATGGTCAGTATGACAAACGGTAGGCTTGCTGAAGCCAGTATCTACTTTGACATCGACGTGTACGACCCCTGCCAAGTCATCATGATCACTCCTCACATGGGTGTTGCTATCATACCGATCGGCGTCACCGAAGGAAGGTACACAAGAGTTGGAGTGGTCTGGGTGTACAGAGT